TCCGATTAGTTATAAACTAATATCCCTAAATATCTACCCGGGGCGGCGTAAGCTATTTATCCCGCGGGCGTTATCTAATAGGGTATAGTAACCGGTAGCGCCGCACGGTGATTACTTAGTGACTGTGGGCGGCGATAGTGTTTATAACGGAAAGGAGAGAAGGGAAAGAAAAGAGGGGAAAGGAAAGAAGGGAAAAAAGGGAAAGGAAAGAAGGGAAAAAAGAGAAAGAAAAGGAGTATATATTATAAAACGACGGAGATACGTTTAGGGGAGATAGCAAACCACGATATAGAATAACTATATAGCAGTATACTACGGGCGGATATAAGGAACTAATAGTAAACCGCGATACTCGTATAGGTTATACTATAAGTCGTGGGTAAAGTAAACTACGGCTAAATAATAGTCCTTATCTATAAGACTTTTAGGTTCTCGGTAAGGAATATACTAATAGAGATCTCTGCTATTTAGTTTTTCCGCTTTAACCGGCTATTTAGCCGTTTAGCCGTCCGGGGTGCTACGGCCTTCTACGGCATTATTCCGAAGTTCGAGATAGGGTCCTAGTTGGAAATAATAGACACGGCAGTATACTTACTATAGCCCGTAGACGGAGGGTGGCCTTAGCGTTAGTTACGGTTAAAGGCGAGTCTGCTATAGGGAGGCCCTCCCCTAATAGGGAGGAAAGCTAAGGGAACCTTAGGTAAACCCGATAAAGGCTAGTGGAATAAGGGGAAGCTCTCCCTTTAATAGGGAGGATAACTAAGGGGCCTTAGGTAAATCTAATAAAGACTAGGATATACCCCCTAAGCCTTAGGATATATAGCCTCTCGCACGGATACCGGTTCTACGCCTTTCCTTTTAGGGTTATTACGCCGCTAGCCTTAGATATTCTCGGCACGTTTAGCTATTTTAGTTAGCGAGCCCGTAATAGGAGGAAAACGTTCTCTGCGAAATACGGGTAAAGGGAAGATTACGGTAAGGGGAGGCTGGCTCCCCTTATACTCCGCGGGAAAAAGGAAAAAAAAGGGGGGAGGGGGGAAATTAGTTAAGTAGCTTAGTACCACGATAAAGGTTAGTGTATAGAATAGAATAGTCGCTATCCTGCGCCCTTTAGCGATCGTTAAGAACGGTTAGTATCGGTGTAGGTTAGTAAGATCGTCTACACTAGCTAGTAATTATTAGGAAGGTTATCGCGGTGTTAAAGCTCGGGTTCCACGGCTAGTATAGATTAGTATAGTTGGTATTTCTACGCTTAACGGTGGTTCCCTTTATTACTCCACGCCTAAACCTATTAAAGGGGAGGCGTCTTCGCCTAGCGCGCCTTATATATATTTAGTCTTAGTATATAAAGTTCGCGCCTTCGAGGGCGGCTATACCTGGCACGCTAGTATTCGCTAGTAAACTATATACCTGTTTAGTCTTAGTATACATAGTTCGCGATAGCGACCGCTAGTATACTACGTGCCAATTTAGTTTTAGTATACGTAGTCTACGCCGGGCGGCGGTACGCGAACCTTACCTAAAAGCTTAGTTACTACTATTTAATATACCTGACCGGTAAATCCCTGGCTAGCCAGTACTATAGGACCTATAAGCTAGGCTTTTCTCGAGGGGTGACCTTTAGGTATAGAAAATACGGTATAATAAAGATATCTTCTCTAAGCTAAAGGGGTGCGCTCCTGGGACTTAAGTATTCCACGGGTAAACCCCGTAGAATCCTCGGCTCCTACGTATAGGAACCCGGGGGATTCCCCGGTATTCACTAATTATACCCTAGGGAAGCTATAGTATACCCTAAAGATACCTATAGCGTACTCCGTGGGTGCTATAGCTTATGCTATAGTATCGCTAGGGTACCCTGTGGTATACCCTGGTGTTCCCGGTGGAATCTAGGGCGTATTAAATACTTTAAGCGGCACCGATAAATAGGCTGCTAGTAGGAGGTCCGCGGTAATTAGGCTAATAAGAAATAAGTCCTCGCCTATAGATAGGTATACACCTATAAATTTAATAAGGAAGGCACCCTCTTTAAGTGTAAGGCACGCCTTATAGTATAAGGGGATTAATAAAAACAGTTAAAGACTAAAGATAACTACGCCGCCACGCTAGTATCGCGGTTCTTCCGTATACTAATAGCGATCGCCGCCCGATTTAATCTAGAGATAAGGCAGTCTAATACCGTTAACGCGTTCGTTAATACTAGCCTTAAAGAAGAGGTATTTATAAAGATACCGTAAGGCTATAAGGTATTAGGTAAGGTCCTATTATTACGGAAAGCCCTCTTCAGTCTAAGGGTATCGCTACTATTATAGTAAGAGGAATTCAGCGGCACGCTATAGAAGATAGGATTCACGGCTATACCTAATAACTCCTATATTATATTCCGCGACGGTTTAATCCTATTTTTCTACGTTAACGATATCGGACTTATATACCATAAAGATCGTAAAACTAACGCCGATAACCTCCAGGCCACTCTTAAGCGAAGCTATAGGTTATTAAGAGTTAAAGAAATCCGTTAGTTCCTGGGAATTAAGGTCCTAAGGGATAGGGCCACCCGTAGGTTATAGCTATTATAATCCTCCTACGTAGAGAAGATCGCGGTTAAATACTACGTAGATATACTCTACTGAAAACCACTAAAGGTCCTATTATCTATAAAGCCGTTAATACTACACGATAGCATGCGCGCGTTGATTCCCGAGGTCCGCTGGTACTAGGGTATAATCGGTTCTATTCTGTATACCCCTATTATAATAAGACCCGATATCGCGTTCGCCTATTCGAAGCTTTCCTAATATAACGTTAACCCCTCCTCTCATCACCTTAAGAGGGCTTAATAAGTGCTACTATTCTTATACTATACGAGGCACTACTACCTAGAATTCGGTGGGGATAGACTCTTCCTAACCGTAAGCGACGCGTCCTTCGGGGATAATCCAGACCGTAAGAGTTCATAAGGATATACGATAAAGCTTTTCGGTAGCACTATTAACTAGAAGGCGGGTAAGTAACTAACGGTCACGACGTCGTTAACAGAATCGGAACTACTCGCTCTTATAGAGGCCGCTAAAGAGACGTTATTCGTTAGCCGGATATTAAGAGATTTAGAGCTTCGGTTAGATTAATAATAGCTATAGCTATACTACGATAATTAGTAGACTATTAACCTCGTTAATAAGAAGGTATAACGCCTGCAGATAAGGCTACGGCACGTCGATATATATAACTAATAGGCGCGCTAATTAGTATAATAAGGTCTCTTTAAGGTTATATACGTTAACACGACGGAGATAATCACGGACAGTTTAATAAAGGCATTACCGGAGGCGGGGATTAAAAGACTATAGTAATAGCTTAATTTAACGGATTAAAAGGATCGTATCGAGTAGTCTAAACGGTTATATAAAGAGATTAAACGCGCTAAAGCCACGGCTATAGCGACTATAAAGGCCTTCGAGGATATAGCAGATCCGATGGATATAGATCCGATTAAGCGGATCCGGCTAATCAGGATCGAGGAACTAATTAAGATAGAATTAAATTAAACGGTTAAATAGGGCGGATTTAGATCCCTTTTATAAGGGCGTTTTTCCCTAGACTATTAATTTTACGATAGAAAAGTTAAGAGTGTTTAGTTTAAACCGAAGCCTCTGATTAGTTAGTTAACCTAGGAAGACCCACCTTAACTAAGGGGGTATGTCGTATAGGCAGGACTACGACGTGGTCTATAGGGGATCCAGGGGGGATCTACTCCCTAACTAAGGGCTTCGGACCTCGGGTATTAGGATATAATAGGGGCGGATACCGGAAAAGACCGGATAGGATCCAAATAATATAGTACCCATAACAGAGTCTTTACCACCTAAATTAAGGGTATAAAAGACTTATATAGATATAACTTAATATAATACACACACACAAGATTTCTGCTCTACTAAGTTAATTATCTAAGTGCCTTTTAACGTGCGATAGGAAACCGTTCTGCTTAAGTACCCTAGCCCGTATCGCCTAGACTAGATATCTACTCTAAGTGCCGGTTCTCTGCCCCCCCTCTATTCGGTCCTCCGGGTACACTTAAGCTCTTTCTAGATTAAAAATCCACTATATCTCTACTACCTACCCGAAAATAAGTGGGCTTTCTAAGTACCCTAGTATAAGTATACTTAGGTAAACAGAACGCGTATAATAACATAAAGGCCTCTACGAAGAAGGCCTCCACGAAAAAGGCCTTTACGAAGGCCTTTATAAAGAAGGCCCCCACGGTAAAGGAGCCTTAGCCCTAACCCTTCTATAACACGTTATTACGTTCTAATAATATAGAAGTACACGTGTACTTTAAGAGACATAGGAAGCCCACTTATTTTCGGGTAGGTGGTGTAGATATAGTGGATTTTTAATCCAGAAAGAGGTTAAGTGTACCCGGAGGACCGAATAGGGGGGGGGCGGAGGACCGGCACTCATCTACTCTAGCTCTTTAGTTAACGCAATCTCCTTACGTAATTATGCTAGGTTGATCTTGTGTTTTCACACGCCAGCCTCCCGGCGCCGGGCTGGGTACCTGGCTGAAGGTTACTAATTCCGAACCTCGCTGTACCTCACGGTATATCCGTGTGTCCCTGATCCTTTAAATGTACTTGATGAAGCTGCGCCCAGCCCACGCATTATATTACCTTAACTGCGCCCCTCTTATCTCCTGCTATCATAAGCGAACTAATAGCGTGAACGCCGATTAACTCGCTCAGCCGCCTCGCGATATACGGATGGGAATCGCCGCCGTCCTAGATATCGATCACAGTCAAAAAAAGAATCCTGAAGAGTCACGAATACCTTATGTCAGTGTCCAGTGTCGAATGTGGCTACAAATTGGCGGAAGAATCACGTGCAAACCCGTCACCCTACCCCTCGGTCGCAACGACATTGGTCCGTGATTACGGCGCTGACCATCTCGGCCAAGGTAACCGCCAACCAATGAGACCTTGCATCTGGGCTTGGAACGCGGAAGCAGCTTACGACAACTTCACAGTCGCATTCACCCAGCCATAAAGTTCATGACTTGATCAAAAACAAGGGTTTCTTTCAACGGTCTAGAGAATCGCTACAAACAGTCAACAACATCAACCACACAGCCCGCTACGGAGCCTGTACCCGGAAGGGTTCTCAGCCCCCCTCTTCGTCCGCCTCTCTTGGTCTCTTATACGCTTCCCCAGCTCCTGCTCAAAAGTAGTCCACGAACCTCAGCGACAATGGTATCAGGCAATCACAACCTCCCCCGCAGCGATGGTGCCTCCGCCCAGCAAGGAAGCAAGATGCCAGACCTACCCCACCGCGAGTCCCAGCGCCAGACCATCCCCATCGAAGAGGAAGAGGATCTACCTCCCGCCTACGAGGAGGGTTCACGAAGGAACACACGAGCGGCGTCTGCTGCGAACAACAGTCCTCACAGGCCTACACCGGATGCCTATCGCCCTGCAGTAACCGCAGCCATGACCGCAGCCGCCGCGACGCCAGCTAGACCCAGCGACGACGATCCCGACGGCTACCCCAAAACCGACCCCATGCACTGGGACCTCAAAGAGCGTCGCGGAGACTGGACCAGCCACGACCACGAGCCCGGGTGCCTCTGCTCTAACTCCGGAGGACTGCTATGTTCCACGCGAGGAGGCGTCATGTGCAGTGATCGGGGGGGATTCTTCTGCAGTGACAGGGACGGGATGTTTTTCAGCGATAGGGGTGGGCTTTGGTGCAGTGACTTGGGGGCGACGTTTTTTAGCTCGGGAGGCGGGGAGGCTAATAGGAAGAGGGGGAGGAGAGTTGTAGGATGACTTGAAGGGTAGAAAGGGGACGGGTGGAAAGACTACGAGGAAAGGGGGGGTTTCTTGGAAGCTGTTGTGATACCATGAACGAGACGGGCATAGGAGGCGGCGATGAGGTTCACTCTATCTGAGTACGATTTAATGGTGATGATATGCGCATCTTCTTAACGTGCCCACGAGTAGATCCAATCCACGGTTACGAACTGGCATGAACGTCTGACCGGCCTTCAAGGGGAGCTGTGTGTATTGTCAACGGCTCTGCTCTGTTCTGCTCGTAGTTCTTGCTTGAGCTTTAGTCTCGAGTCTCTCTATGGGATCATGTCCGTCCCATACAATTGATGATCTACATCTCGAAAAAATGTCTTCGCGCAACAATCGCCAGCCCACACCAGACCAAGGCAAAGGCACACACACACACACAGAAAATTGGGATAAGCGTGGTTATTTGTTGTCCGGCTCTATACTCGTAGGGTAAAAGTCTATATACAGTTTGTGTCTTTTCTTCCCACAGGGTATCTCCATCCATCCAAAGTCACCCAAGGTCCAACCGCCCCCCCCACCTCCCCTCGGTCTTTTTTCACCTGGCGCTGTTACGTAGAAATACGTTTGTGACGACTTGACGCGATGGATTGGTTGTATATGCCAGGGATGACAGGTCGCCGAGGATCTATCTAATGACATGACATGACATGACATTGCCAGTCTGGGGTCCCTTCCGTTCCCCCGGGCAGGCGGCGAGAACCCCGGGAGTTGACCGCCCCTAACAATAACCGTGAAAACGCCTCTGGGTTGTTCTGGCTGGTCGAGATGAGTCGCTCTCCGTACACCGTGCCCCGAAGCTCCTCTATCCACCTCCACCGGTCACTGTACAATCGTCCGGCCAAAAAGAGGCGTAGACCCGTCTCCTCTCGCTGTTCGTGTCAAGTCGTGATGTTGCTCATTTCGTTCGCCATGCTACCCGCATGATCCCTCAAGAGTGCTCCCCCAGCGCTGGGGAGACACCTCAACCGAAGACAGCAGCACCACCAGACTCAACAGCCTCGATCTCGGCCATCTCGATGGGCGCGCGGCGGAACCTCGCGGGCAGCTCCGAAGTGTCGAAGAAGGTGCCCTTGGGGGGCTGGACGTCGCCGAGCTGGGCGCCGGCCGAGCCGCCGATGCCGCCGGTGGAGGAGCGGATGGACTTCTGGAGGGGGCCGTGCTGCTGGACGTGGTCGCGGTAGTTGCTGAAGGAGGCGTGGCGGGGAGGTCGCCGTTGGGGGAGGTGGGGTGAGGCTTGGGGGAGTGGTCGACTGAGGCTGTGGGAGGGAAGGGCCTCAGTGAGCAAGCAAGATTGTTTGAGCTGGCCCGTTACGGGACCAGCTTACTGCTGGGGTTCCTGCCCTAGCCTTTCGTTATATATACCCCCGCGACCCAGGCCCCTGCTCTGCTCATCCCTCGAGATAGAGGCACTATGCCGCTCTCACCGCAAACCTCGCCGGCCATTTGGGATGACTTTGGATCCCCAAGTCACCCAGCCGATATTGGCGGGTCTGGACTGGAAGCTCGGAACTAACAAAACTGCAAGGTGTTCGATGGCAACGAACACAAGATCAATAACGGCGTACTATACCATGGAATGGCATGGACAGAAGCTGGCGCGAAATCCCTGCAGACTGTCAGTGAGCTCCGCCTGTTTAAAACATACCGTCGAATCGCTGTGCGATGATTACGTTGGCGACTGGATGTGATTGGGTTTGAACTGGGTCCAGGGTACTTTGTTACAACATACACGGCGAATGCTAACTTGAATTAAGTGACTTTACTAAAGTAAGATGGAGGTCCTGCTTGAGAAGCTGATCCAGAACGACAAAATATCATCCGGAATAGGAAAAGAAGAAAAAACTTACATAAGCAGAGACGTTCGAGTGGAGACCAGAAGCTTTCAGAGATAAGTACTACAGTACCTAGGTACGTACCTCGTGTGGATAACCTCACGTTCGACGTTACGTTGTGGATGGACAGAACGAAGTGACCAACTAAACCTCTCTCCCTCCCTTGACGCGTTATCGAACAACAATCAAGGGTTTGCGAGTTTGCGAAATACTTCCCAACTTGACGGCTTCTGACGAATGATGAGCTTATGAACCCCATGATTTTGTGTTATCATCTCTAGCGACGCCTCCTCTCATCATGGACGACCTTTCAGGGCTGGACTGGTCGTCGTCTACGAGCAACAAACCAACCACCAAAGCACCTTCGATCCCTTCCGGAGCCAACTACTTCGGATCGATGCAACAGAGACAGACACCTTCTCCTCTGCCGTCTGCCCGTAACACGCCGATACCCATGCAACACTCCCAGTCCAAGCCTGCAGCTCCCCCGGCAACGGGCGCGAAGCCTCCTACGACTACCACAGACAGCTTCAGCAACCTGTTGAATTTCGGCCCAGCAACCAAGTCCAATGCGAAACTGAGCTTGCGTGAACAACAAGAGCGCCTCGAGGCCGAGAAGAGGAAGAGGGAGGAGGAGAAAAAGAAACAAATGGAGAGCCAATTTGGGGGTGGGCAGTTTTGGGACACGCTCGGGTCACGGTCGGCGACGCGGACTGCCTCCCCAGCCATGTCGATGTCGTCCGGGCAGAACGGGAATGGGAGGCAAGTGGCCGACGACGACGATGATCTCTTCGCGGCCTTCAATGCCGACACAAAAGTCGACAATGCCAGCTACTACCCACCGCCTCCCGAGAAGAAGCCCTCTCCTTCCGTCGACCCCGTGCTGGACCTTAGCGATCCGAGCGCCTGGGGGGGTCAGAAGCAACCTTCGCAGACGCAGCTGACCTCAGGGCTCGGAGACGATGACGACGACCCTTTCGGTCTAAATCAGCTGAAGGCCAAAGGGCCCTCCCCCGCGCCAGCCCCGCAACGACAACTCGACGACGACGATGACTTCCTGGGTGACCTGGCGCGGCCCGTGGAAGAGGTGCGTCGGAAACAACCTTCGCCGCAGCCGCCTCGCCAGCCAGAGCCCGGAAAGCCGATAGAAGGATCGAGCTCGGACTCCGAGGATGAACCGCCTGCGCGAGGTACCAGAGGGCCAGTGGACGAGTTCGACAGAGCCGTTTCACAGTTGACGGACTACGGGTTCTCGCCCGAGGATGCCAGGCGCGGGTTGACGGAGAGCGGTGCTGGTTTAAACGTCCAGGCAGCCGCCAACTGGCTTCTCGACGACGCGCACCGAAGAGCCAAGGCGGAGGCGGAGGGCCGAGACCCCTCGGCAGGCCCGAGACGAGGCCGAGAGAGCAGCCGGCATGAGAGTCCTCGGAGGACCGACAATAGGTCACCCGTTGTGGGAGATGACTTGCAGAAGACCGCGGCGGCGGTGGGAAGCAGTTTTCTGAAGACGGCAAATTCACTGTGGAAGACTAGCAAGAAGCAGGTGGCGCAGGCCTATGCGGAGTTCAGCCAGGAGGGGGATCCGGGCCAACCCAAGTGGATGCGCGCGGCGCAGCAGGGACAGATGCGCCCGCCGGCACAAAGACACGAGGCGGATGTTACGGACGAGGCGCTGATGCTGGAAGCTGGAACGAGACCCGAGAGGAAATCGTCACAGGGACCTCAGCATTCGCGACACGAGCCACCGAGAACGGCATCGCAGGGACCTTCTCCGGCCTCTCGGAGTCCGGCGTCGTCTAGCCGCAGCACGCCGGCGCCAAGGTGGCAGCAGTCGGCGCCGGTCATTCCGGATTCGAAAGCTCGCGCTAGCCGGCTTGTTATGGAAGATGATGGTGCCTCTTCGTACGTGAGCCCTCATAGGAGGCGAAAAGCAACGCCGCAACCGCAACCGCAACCGCAACCGCAACCCCAACCCCAGCCAGCACAGCGTCCTCAGCAACACGACGAAGAGAATTTGCTCTTTGGGGCGGAGGCGTCGAAACCTGCTCCCTCTCTACCACATCGACCTGCTCAACCGCAACCACCCCAGGCGGCCAAGCGTCCAACTCCATCCGCGACGCCGCGACGCTCTCCTCCGCCGGCTCGTCAGATACCGAGCATCGCCCCGTCAGCCATTCAACAATCGACGAAACACCGTCTCGACGGCACCCAGCATTTCAAGCGAGGCGACTACGCAGCGGCCCATTCGTCGTACACGGCCTCCCTCGCCGCCGTGCCGGACACCCACCCGCTAGCGATCGTCATCCTCACCAACCGCGCGCTCACGTGCCTGAAGAACGGCGAACCCAAAAGGGCGGTCGACGACGCCGACGCCGCACTCCAGGTCATCGGACCCGCGGGAGGCCTAGGCGAGCACGTGGCGGTGACGACGAACGAAGCGGGTGCCGAGGAACGCCGCGACATGCGCGACCTGTACGGCAAGGCGCTCAGCCGGAAGGCCGAAGCGCTGGAGCAGATGGAGCGCTGGGCCGAGGCCGGTGCGGCCTGGCAGCTCTGCGTGGAGGCCGGGGTCGGTGGGTCTACGGCTATCGCGGGTCGTCAGAGATGCCAGGCGGCGCTTGCGCCTAAACCGAAAGCGAAAGCGAAGCCGACGCCGACGCCCACGTCGCAGGCCCGTCACTCCGCAGCAGGGCCGACGACTCGCCCTCGCCCTCCCCCCCGCCCTACTGCGGCGACGCAGCAGAGCTCGGAGGCGGTGGAGCGGCTGCGGAAGCAGAACCAGGCGGCGGAAGCGGAGGACGAGGAGAAGTTCGTCCTGTCGGAGAAGGTGGATGCGCGGATTTCGGGCTGGCGGGACGGGAAGCGGGATAACCTCCGGGCGTTGCTGGCGAGTCTGCATACGGTGCTGTGGGAGGGGAGCGGGTGGCGGCAGGTCGGGCTGCACGAGCTGGTGATGCCGAACAAGGTGAAGATTGTGTACATGAAGGCGATTGCCAAGTGTCACCCCGACAAGGTACGTTGGCGAACCAACCAGGACCCCGACAGGTTTGACGGTACCTTATATACTGACAGGCGTGTGTTTCGATGAATCCAGCTGCCGCAAAACGCTGGCACGGAGACCAGGCTCATTGCGGCGACGGTATTCGCGACGTTGAATGAGAGTTGGGACAAGTTTAAGACGGAGAATTCTCTCTAGATTTAGATGGAGTAACGTGGATAGACAAGAAAGAAAGGTTCCGGGGGGGGGATTGGGATATAGAAGGAGGATGAATGAGGCATCTTCACCTTCACGACAAGACGAAAAATGGGTAGTCAAGCGAGCAGACAGAGCGAAAGACGAGATCCAATTCCCCAAAACGCCACGCTACCTATGCCGCCATGATTCCCGTCATCAACACACTTTGCCTTTGGGACGGTCAGCTGGGAGTATGTCCTGCCTGCTCTTTAACTTGTGCACGTTTTTGACCGTCCGTTACCCAAGTCGACGGTACTCCGGTCTCCTCGTCCTTCCAACATGTTACTGGGGGGGGGGGGGGGGGGGGGGGGGGGGGGGGGGGGGGGGGGGTAGGGGCCAGCGGCGGCGCTGTGTATTCTAGTCGGTGCAGAGCGAAACGAACGAGCAAAAAACAAGTCATCAAAGACCCAGCATCTGCCTGACGCTGTCGCGGACCTTCTTTTCGTAGTCGGACCTCCGCTCGCGCCACATCTTGGCGGCCTCGACGTTGGCGGGACTCTCGTCGTTGGGCTCGGCGAGCATGCTCATGACGGAGATGAGGATCTTCTCGACGGACTGGATGGGGCTCCAGCGCTCCGAGGCGTGTTCGTAGTGGTTCGGGTCGTCGCCGGGGGGGTGGAGGATGGAGATGCAGACGAGGCCGGAGGGGTAGACTGGCGGGTGTTAGCAGTGGTTTTTCTTTCTGTCTTCTTGTAGCCCAACGGACGAAAACACGAGGTGGAAAGACAAGAAACACACCGTTGGGATGCCACACGTCGGCGAGGAACTTCATGGTAGGCGGAGCAAGGGGGTAGTCCTTGGGGAACTTGAGCTCGGCGGGGAACACGCCCCCTTCAAAGGGAGTGCCTTCGGGGCCTTGGATGAGACATTCCCAGTGGAGGAGGTCGTCTTCGGAAACGGGACCTGCAGTGATGCCTTCTGGAGGGTTGTTGGTGAGGGCGCGGTATTCTTGCAGGAGACGTCGGTGGGCGGTGGATTGGGCCATGGCGGGGATGAGCTCGGAGGGCTCGGAGGGGTCTATTTGTCTATTTGTTTGGTGTAAAGTGATTCGGGGTAGTGATGTCCAGGTAGAGAAGCGATGTTGGAGTTGGACAGTTTATTGGCGTGGTTGGTTATTTGGATTGGCGGGAATATGTATAAGGGATAGAGAGAGACGAGAGGTCAGCTCGGTGGTGGTCGGGTCTTGGATCGGAGAAGCATGGAGAGGGTAGCGGACGGGCGGGGTGTTTGGTTATCTAATCAGTTTGGTTACCTAATCAGCCGCAGTTCATCCGCTCGAGCTTCCCTCCCATGGCCCAAGCTCCCTCTCTCTCCCTCCCTCTCTCTCTCTCTCACACACATTTTCGACTCCAGCTTCAATCCAGGGCAACGCTCGTTCCCCTCCCGCCATGTCGCCCCGAATACCCTTGCGGTCCATTGCCGGCTCCCCAAGTCCGTCCATGCGGCTTCGATTGACCCTCCCAACATCACCGATCTGTCTCTTCTGTTCTCTGGCTTCGAGGCCCCACGCCGTCTCCCGAATCCCTTCACGCTCTCCCCAACCATCCCACCGTCGCCGTTTCCAGTCCACTACCACTACCACTACCGCCGCCGCGGCCTCACCCACGCCACCAGAAACGAACCGTGATCCCAGGCAAGAGCTTATAGAGACACTCCATGAGCTGCAGAAAGTTGCCCCGAGCCTCGTCAATCTTTCCAGACTACAATTGGCTCTCCAGGGCTTGCGGCAGACACCGGGCGAAGAGTCGATCAGGGTCGCCATCTTGGCACTTTCCAATGGCTCCGACCCGGGGACAACGGCCAAAGAAGTGCTACGACTTCTTTTGGCAGACCCATTGGCTTCAGAACAGGAATGGGAAAAACAGTTGGCCGCTCATGACCCACGACAACCCCTCGTGGTGAGGATACGACGGGACCCCCAACACGACGACCAAGCCGGCGGGCTCACCATCTCCAAGACAAACCTGCTCCACGACCTGGACGTGTCAAGTCCCGGGCTGAATGAGCTGAATCTCGAGCTCTTACTGACCGAGGTCGGCCAGAGTGGTGCCGTGGCCGCATCGGACATGGAAGAGGCCCTTCTTGTCCCGACCGTCGATATACCTTCGAATACCGGACGGTATACTCCCGTCACGACTCCGGTCCACAAGGCTCTGTTGGTGACGGAGGGCATCATGGGCGCGGCAGCCGTCGCACCTCTGCCTCTGTCCATGCTCGAGAACCGCGGCGCCGTCCTGGCGGCTGTCGACTTGCCCGGCTACGCAACCACCCACAAGGGCGATTCCGACACGACCTTCCAAGCCATCGACGTGGCCGCGGCGAGGGAGAGCGTCCGCCTCATTCGCGCAAACCTGGGCAACGCCATGGACTACGAGAAGCTCTGGCGTCAAAGCAACCTACCGGTCCTAAAGTCGTGGCTCACAACCGGCGTCCAGGTGGAAGGAAACAAAGGAGGAGACAGAGACGCCAAGGCCACCAAACCCGCGCTGCTCGAACTCGTCGCTTCGCTGCTGGAAAACACCTCGGCCGCGGTGCAGAGGGAAGAAGACGCCCGGCTGGGAGAGCAGCTCGCCTCCGAGGTCGCCGCCTCCACCTCCGGGCGCGCCACGTTGTCCCGCGCCCTCGCCGCATGGTCCCAGTCCGCCCACGAAGAATTACAGCAGCAGCTCGACCTGGCCTTCTCGGGACGCCGGTGGCGCAAGCTGGGGTGGTGGAAGCTCTTCTGGCGCGTCGACGACGTGGGCGTGCTCACCGGCGAGATGCTCGCCCAGCGCTTCCTGCCGGGTGCGGAGCGGGAACTCGTCTACCTCGCCGGTAGGATACACGGTGCCGGGCCGGCTCGAGGGGCCCTCGTGTACGCACAGCCGATCCCCGAGTCGGAATCCGCGTCGTTGAGCGAGGGGAACGGAAACGAAAACGGAAACGGCCGCAGCAAGTGGCCCACTCACATCTCCTTCACGCGCCGCTACCTCCACGCCGAGACGGTCCCCGCCCTGCAGGCGCTGGCGCAGAAACTCGTCCTCGAGGCGTCGAGCACGTCGTTCCTGACCTCGTCCCTGGCCGGCCTGCTGTACGTTTCCGCGTCGGTATCGTCGCTCTACGAGGCTGGTGCCGTGGCGGCCCTGGGCATCGTGTGGAGTCTGCGGCGGCTGCAGAAGAAGTGGGAGACGGCGCGGGGTTTCTGGGAGGGCGAGGTGCGCGAGGAGGGTCGCAAGGCGGTGCGGGGGGCTGAGGCGAGCGTGGCGGAGGCGCTGCATCATGCGACGGCTCGCGCGAGGCGGGAGGAGGAGGAGGAGGAAAGTGGGAGGGAGAGACGGTTGGCGAAGGAGCTTGTCGATCGAGCTGCGGACGCGCTGGCGCGGATGAAGTAGGGGGTTGACCAGGTATTTATCGCTTGATGTATTTATACTCCTAGTAGCTCCCTCCGCCAGGACTTGTATTCAAAATGTGTACAGATGGAATGAAGGTCATGGCGATATCTCAGCCTACTCTGGCTAATCTTGTATTGTTGCGAGATGGGCGTACCCGAAAGATGTAGGGCCTGCCCTGTTCATATCATGCCACGTCTTAACATGGCAGGAGATCCGATCCGTCTCGCTACCTGGATGCGACTGTGGTGACCATTGGGAATTTCCCGCATCTCTGGCTCGATTTCCCGCCGGAACGCCTTCGACACCAAACCACAGCGGACCACGCGGGGCAGCATGACAAATAGGACCACCCAGGGAAATGGGCGAACAACCACCCCGCGGCACGAGCCAGCGATATAGACACTCAGCCCCTCCCCCCCAAAAAGCGTCTTTCCCTCCTTTCCCCTCCTCCTCCTCCTCCTCCTCCTCCTCCTCCATCCCCGTCTTTCCCACCAAATCGTGTTGTAAGATTCTCCTTTTCCTTTCGTCCTCTCGCCCCGTCGCCCCGAATTACCTTCCACCCCGCCCACTCGCCCTCGCACGGCTAACGGTCGCCCTTCCACGGGCGAGACCGACACCGCGGCCGCGCAGGTGGCGGCTGCGGAACATGGGGGCGTTGCGCAGCATGTCCGGGACGATGAAGAAGCGCACGTGCGAGCCGCGGATGTAGACCTGGTCGAGGTGGGAGACGCGGCCGTCGCGGGCCGTCACGGTGATGTCTTTGAGCTGGACGTTCATGTTGTCTTCGGCTGTTGTTTCGCAAAAGATGTGTTAGTGTTTAGTGAGCCAGATGGGTTGGTTTGCAATTGAGCCTGCTTCTTGTCCCAAGGGTTATGGGTTGTGGTTTACCTTCTAGTAGCTTGCCGCGGTAGGTCTGGCCGGAGGTGATTTCGAGAGTGATGATGTGGCCCTGTGGGAACAAATGTTAGACACATGAGCCCGCGCATAGAGACCTGGAGACCTGGACGTGCCTGTGCCTCGTTGAGGAGCTTGATGGGGATGCCGATTGTGGACGTCATTGTAGCGGGACGGGGACCTCAATTCGGTCCAGGAAGAGTGCGGGTTTGGTCGAAAGGAGAACTCTTAGCTTGGCCGTGACTCGAAGTTGTCGTTTGCCTCGGCCTGTATCGTGATGGTGTCTTGGTCGGAGGTGAAGAGTCGAATCGGTGACTATGTCCAGGAGACTTGGATTCGTGTTGCGCTGCTTAAGGTATGGACGTCGTTTTTTGACTTGTATGGCGTTTCCGTACTGGGTAGTACGTAATTACATGTACCTAACCAGCTTCTGCGATAACGCTTAGATAATCTTGATGATTTTCCGAGAGTTGATCCGAGAGTTGATCCGAGAGTTGATCCGAGAGTTGATCCGACAGTTGATCCGACAGTTGATCCGACAATTGATCCGATTGACTGATGGTGGCCTGTGCGTTTTGACTACATTCTTCACTCACTTTCTCATCTCCTTATTATTATTGAGAAGATCATGCTCCCATATCCTCCCGTCCCCTTCGAATTGACCAAAATACAGCGCCGTTTTTCTCCAAGTTTCCGTATATAACCCTCAGTCACATTCTTCGAATAAGAACCACATCAGAAATCTTTACAAAACACCCCAAAGCCGCTTCAACCACATCCGTCTCCTCCATCATGAACATCGCCAATAGCCACATCTCACCTCCCTCCTCGGGGCTTCACCATATCAACTCCGTATCGGCACGTCACTTGACCTTTATCTTCAGCTCACTTATATTTTATAGACCCGGGCATTCTACTTGTTTCTGAGACATCCCGGCGACGACCTCCAATGATCATCACATGTCCGACGTTCAGTTGGAATGCTGCCCCGTCACGTAGCAAGCAACGCATTCCTCCGGGACATTGCCTCGAGACCCAGCTATAACCCCTTTATCGCCCAGTTCCGTTCCGGTCCCTTGTGTGTCCGTCTCTGTTTACCACCCTCCTCTATTCTTAGCACGCTAGACTTGCGTCTCGCTGCGCTTCCATCCGGTCTTCTCATCCTCGTGATGGTGTCCGCTCTTTGATCACCCCTGTGTTCCGCCATCAAGGCGTGTCCCTCGTTAGAATCCCAAATCCACAAAGGTTGGTTCTCCGTTCGCTCGTTCAGGCCACTCATTGTGGTGTTCGCCCGTGCTCCTTTTTTCGAATCTCTTTGCCTTGTTCTTTTCTTCTTTTTACTTTGAATCCATCGTCCCAGCCATGGCTCCTTCGTTCCTCCTACCCCGAGAAGGCGAATCCGGCGGAATCACCGTCGGCTGGCTCCTCGCCATCGCCCTCGGCGGAGCCGCCCTCCTGTTCGTCTCCCTGGCCTTCATCCTCGTCTGCCTCACCGACCGCCGCACCCACCGCGCCCAACTCGCGGCCCGAACCCGAGACCTACAGCCAGCCTACCGCAACCTCAACTCCTCCTCAGCAGAAGAGGTCAACGGCTCGCCAGCCCCACACCCCCGATCCGGCCGTCGGCGACGCCTCACCAAGTCGCCGCAAGTCTCCCCGGTGCGGAGCCAGAGGAGCGGCAGCTCGCTCCTCTTCCCCCGTCTAGCCAGCAGCGGCAGCCTCACGCACTTTTTCGGCTCGCCCAACAAAAACAACAACAACAACAACAACAACAACAACAACAACAACAACAGGAGGTCCCCTGCGGCGGCCCAGCGTAACAATTCGTGTCGGACAAACGCCTCCTGGGTCGACGAGGATGCCATTCACGGGCCCAAGATGGGGAAGCCGTCGTCTCGCCAGTCCAGGCGCATCACGCTCCGCGATAGCTGGCTCATCTTACGGCCCCCGACTCTGCCCGCCTTGTTGGGATACCGCGACAACGACGTCAACCAGGAATCGTTTTACGAGCACCAGAATTACCCGCTTATGCCCCGCCCCCGCCCCGTGGCTGTTCTGCCTGGGCACCAGCAAGCGCGTGACCATGGCCATGGCCATGGCCAAGACGGCGAGCGGAAACCCGCGTCGCGGGTGCCGTTGGTGCGCACGCCCTCGTACGAACTGGCGGAGAAACGCGCCGCGGCGCTGAGAGCCGGTTTCACGCAGTGCGAGGACTCGCAGACCGCGAACCCCTTCCCGCAAGGCCCGCGACCCCCACCAGCAACACGCGTAAGACAGGCCGTCGCCGTCACCGCCACCGTCACCGAGTCGGACCTGCAGGCGATCCTCCGGAACACGGCGCAACGGTTGCGCGACGGGAGCCCTTCTCCGAATACCAGTCCCACCAGGAAACCGACCAACATGCCCACGCGGCATCGCAGGACGTCTTCGGTGCGGGAGTCGCCCGTGAAGATGCGCCGGCCGGATCTCGATGGCGCGGTTCCCTCGCGCCAGATGCCGCTGTCTCTTGGGGCAGCGGCGCCGGCCACGCCGAGCCCGCAGAAGATGGGCAACGGGCCGGCACTGGCGCCTCATAGCGCCCCAGCTGCTATTTCCACGTCGTCCCACCGTCTTGTCCGGAATGGGAGCCCCCAGAAAGTGTCTGCCGCCCCGGGACGTCGACGCAACGTGTCGCAGTCGTCCGTCACCTCCGATACGGACAGTCTGTTTGGGGAATCTGTGTCCGAGACGGAACAAGTTGTTGAGACCGGCCTGTCGAGCCCCAGTCGCCGCGTTGTCCGGGGTTGCAAGGAGCCTGTGCTGCCACTGCAGCAGATACAGCGAGTGCAACAGGTGCAGCCGGTGCAGCCGGAACAGCCGGAACAGCCGGAGCAGCAGCAGCGCCGCAGAAGCATGTCCATCCAGTCGACTGCCAGCTCGGTCTCGTCGGCTCTCTCGACGGTATACAGTGAAAACGAGCCAGAGGACGACAAGGGCGGAGACGAGCGCAGAAATACGCTGCATCTAAACTCATCCGGCCAGTCCACAGGCACGCAGAAATCCTGGAGCCAGCGACGCGCAACGCACAGGGTCAAAATGAGCGACCCGTTCGCGCCTGCTTCAGGTGCGGCGGCGCCCCGCATCCCAGCAAAGTCGTCCCGGCGACCCGTCGTGATGCCACAGGGGACGACACCCCGTCAGCTGCATTCCCGCCGGGCCTCGTCCCAGGACGGCGGTGGCCACCCGCTCGGTTCCATCTCGGGCAACGCGCAGTCCTCCCCCGGACGTGCTCCTCCCCTCATGTCATCCCTGATCCTCTCGAATCAAGTGGACCCGGCCAGGCGAGACGAGTTGCGCCTGTCCATCATGATGACCCCGCCCGATATGGGCGGCGGATGCGGCAACGTGCGGTCCAAGACGGTGGCGATGATGAAGCCGGCGTTTTTCGCGACGAGCTCGAGCGTTGTCAGTATGGAAGCCTCGCCGTCGACGCCCGAGGACGACCGCAGGGGGTCGGCGAGAGCGAGAGGTCACGGGCCCAAGACGAGCTCCGGGGCGCGGTCGGCGGTCCTACCGCCGCCGTTGAATTTGCATCCGATCCTAGGTTCGCCTTGCATCGAGGAGATGAAGGGGAACACGGCCGCGACACAGCGTCAAGTCGTGACGCGCGAATCGGCGGATGACGTTGCGTCTCTGCCATCCAGTCCCCTTGCCACCCGGCCCCGGCCACTACCGGAATCTCACCATCAAGACACCGAATCCAAAGGTAATAGTAACGACAACAGCAGCAGCAGCAGCAACAGCAGCAACAGCAACAACAGCCCCAGTAGAGGGCCGTCCAATAACGCATCAGACTCGAGCTCCCACTATTCCGACGCGCAGAGCCATACCGGCCAATCTTCCACCCGCTTCCCGCCCCTCCACACCTCCATCCTCCAGCTCCGCCGCATGAACAGCCAACTGAGCACGCACAGCCGCGCCTCCACCGTCCTCGCCCCGGATAGTCCCACCCTCCCGACCCTCCGCGGGGGCGGGTTCAGCCCGGAACGTAGCAGCAACAGCAACGACACAAACCAGGCGGGGCGGGCCAACTACCTCAACCTCGGAGTCGGAGGAGGGGGGGAGAGAAGTCCAGGGTCGTCGTCACGCGCGCCGCGACGGGGTCGGTGTATCAGGAACGCGAGGGACTCGGTGGATAGGCAGCGGGGGAGGGGCGGGGCCACGCGCGAGAATAATCGGGGGGCGAGGGAGCGGCCGCTGCAGACTATGGAGGAGCAGGAGAATACTAATACTCGGGGTGATGACGGGGAACAAGCACGGGGGTACTCTGGAGAAGGGGGGCTTTCGCGGAGGAGTAGTTTGAAGGGGAGTTTCCGTGACTCGGGCAGTCCTCGGCGACGGTTGAGTGTCCGGTTTGGCGAAGTGGAGGAGCGGGTGTTCGTGCGGGACCAAGAGATTGGCGACAGCTATCCCGAGGTGACCGTGACCGAGTATAACTGGGAGGAGGAGCCCGGGCGTGGATGTGAACCAGATGGACGGGCCGACGTGACGCCGACGAAACGGAACCGGCACGAGGTCCGGGGAAGCAAGGACAGTCTTGGACTGTACGACAAGGATGGGTTCCTGATGAGCTCGCCTGAGCGGTTGCCGTCTTCTGCTGCGGAGGGTCGGCCGAGCGAAGGACTGAGGATATGATGGTCTCCAAGGGGGTGGCACTGAGAGCTGCGAGTCTCCGTTTCGTTTTCGTTTGTAATTCGGGGTATGGTGATTCTGCTACTACTACCTGTTCAAAGTCAGCTATTCAGTCGGTCACTCCCGGGCTTTTTTTTTTTTCTTTTTCTTTTTTCTTCTTTCTTTTGTCTTTTCTTCCAAGCAGTGCAAGTTTAATCAGAAGGCCAAAGTCCCCAAGTTTGTGCGTACCTACCTAGACGGTTGTCCGAATCCTTGCCAAAGATGATCATATCACCATCTCCGGACACAATCGAACCAGCCAAGAACACGGAGATGTAGACACCTCATGACGGTGCCCCATCATCCACCCTGGGCCGCTTATTCTCGGAATCCACACCTTGCCCATCGTCATCCGCACCATTCGCCTCATCGCGTCCCCGAACTCTCCCAGCACCCTCGCCCAGCTCCCCGCCAACACCTTCCCCCTGCCCGTCCCTGTCCCTGTCATTTCCATCGCCAACCCAGTTCCCCTCGGAGTCGAAGTACTCATGCAGGTTCTCCGCGGTGATCCAGCCCGAACTGCCAGGAAACGGAGGCGGGAGACCCCCCGTGGCGTTCCCGCGCAGCACGCCCGTGAAGCCTTCCATGGGTTCGTGGTCGCCGTCGAATATGATCCTGTCGTCGTCGTCGTCGTCGTCGTCTTCGTCCTCTTCGTCGTCGACCGGGTCGGGGTGCAGGTCGGAACAGGCCGAGATGGCGTCGTATAGGGCCTGGACTGCGTCTGCGTCTGCGTCTGCGTCTACCGGTGGGAGGACGGTGAGGTCTATGGACGTCTCGTCTTCGTCGCTGCCGCCGTTGTCGACCAGGGCGAGCTGCATCCAGATTGCTTGCAAGGGAGATCCTGAGGCGAGGGTGCCGGCTGACTTGATGGCGTGGATGGAGATGGCGGGGTACGGGATCTCTACTCCCACAGCTGCGGAAGGGTTGAAGATTGTGAGGTTTCTGAGGAGGGGGGGGGGAGACGAAGTGTTCGTTAGTTCCAGTTATACTCGCGGAAAGCCAAACGGCAAGGTTGACGCACTTGGAATGGACAAAAATGTCGACGGTCTGCTCTACCATTTCCTCGGCCGCATCATCTTGCAGGGAGGCGCCGGCCGGGGCTGAGGCGGGGGTGAGGCTGGACGGATTGACGGTGAAGATGGGAAGGGATTGCGCATGGGCCTTGGGAATCCACGCCTTCACAGAGGTCAGATGACGGTGGAGCACGGGTTTGCCGTCGAAGAAGGACTCGGGAGTGCGGGATTCGTATTCTTCGAGGGGCGTAAAGTCGTCGAGGGACGGCGGGGAGCGGATGGTGATGGGGAGCATGTTGATGACGGCCGAGAGGGCCCGAAGGGGGTTTCTGAAGGACGTAATGGTTGGCAGTTGGAGGGGGATGGTTCGATTGGGTGGTTGAGGTGAGAATCGTGGAGTTGGGCGTCCAAGTCTTGTTGCTCGATGTTGACTTGGGGTGAAGAAGCAAAAGCAAAGCAACGCCTCGAGGTTTGAAGCTTGCAGGGGAGATGAGCTGTCAATTGATTATGTCATCAGATCGATTGGCTCGGGTTGCCCCACCATAACTCCGTTACCTCCGATCACGCGACTTCGACCGAGTACTCCTTATACCTACCTTAGGTAAGGTAAAAAGCACCTTATGTAATTTTAAGGTACCTATGGATCGTCACTTTGTCACGTCATTCAACACACGCCGACAATCACGCTGCGAGTCTTCCGTCTCGCCTCTAGAGCAACAGAGCAACAGCAACAGAGCTACAGATCAGCCACTCCAAGGTGTTTTATGCTTCGACAGAAGAATCAACCCTCAATTTACATGGCTTCGCCATTACTTACACTCGTCATCTCACCTCCGTTCTGTCACTGACCATTGCATCATGGACTATCACCGTACGTTCTTCCTTGCGCCCCTATTCCCAACCGAACCGCGCAACAAACTGACAAATAATCGCCAACTCACAGGCTCCCGACTCCTCGAACAAGTCCCCCTCACCGTCTCCCCCTTCGTCTCCCTCCCCAGCGCCCCCACCCTCTCCTACAACTACAAACCGATGCCCTCCTCCCTCCCCCCCTCGATCCTCACCGCCCCCTCCTCAACCACCACAACCACCACGACCACCCCTGCCGCCGCAACTGCCGCCGCAACAGCAATGGCCGCCCCTCCGACCCCCAACCCCCCTTCCGACGGCGTCCCAGCAGTATCCTCCACGCCGCCCAAGCCGAAATACGTCGTCTCCAGCTCCGGCCACGCCGCCCACCCAGACGACATCATCGCCTCGTGCCGCGCCCTGAAATCCCACATCGCCCGCATGCAGGCCGACGCCGAGCGCGAGCTGCGCGACTTCGAGGACCGCATCCGCGACCGCGAACTCGCCGAGAAGAGACGCGTCGCGCCCGGGTGGCTGGATAGCGATGCGCGCTTGTTGGAGCCCGAACGACGGGGCGGCCCGTCTGGTCCCGCCGAGGTGGCGGGGGAGGAGAGTGCGGCGGCGTCGCCGCGTCGCCCGGGGCAGGGGCCCAGTGAGATGGGGGCTGATCGGGGGGTTGGTCAGGGGGTTGATCAGGGGGCTGAGCTTGATCGGGCTTTTGGGGGGTTGCGTGTTTGATGGAACGATCGATTCTGCGTGGAGCGGGAGGGTTGTTTTTCTTTTCTTCTTCTTGTTTTGTCAAAGCCTTTCCTTCTGTGGGTTGGTCATCTGGTGGACTGCTTTCTGGCATTGGGGCGCATCATCGGTGGAAGATCTGATGTTGACGTACATTGGTAGGCTGTCGTGCTGCTCTCCTCTCTTCTCTTCCAGTCTGTTCTGACATGCACAAATAAACCTACATTTCTCCAGCTTGCTCTCATGTTACGAAATTTCAAGGCGCATAGGCATTACAAAGTCGGCATCCCACCACATCCCACCGCCACCACTACGTCGTCACGGGCCGTCAACGCCGCCACCTCCCGCTCCCAAAAGTCGACCAACTCGTCCAACTCGGGCCGACGATTCGGGTCCACCTCTAGACTGCGGTTCGCTATAGCCTTCCACTTCTCCGGCACGTCGTTGGACCGATCCGTCCACACCGTCGGGGACGGCGACTGTTCCACTTGTTCCATCAGCATCCACATGACGCGCCCCAGGCTGAACACCTCGGCCAGCTCCGCCGCCCGGGGGCAGGTGCGCTTCCATTCCGGGAAGACGTTCCAGTCCGGGTATCCCCACGGGAGGTCGCACCTCTTGGGGCCGGTCCGGGGAATGTACACGATTCTGCCTCGTTTGTTCCTTCTCCTCTCCTCCGCCCCGTCCTCTTTCTCTTTCATTTTTTCTTCTTCTTCTTCTTCCTCCTCTTCCTCTTCTTCCTCCTCCTCCCGCGCCTCCTGGTCAATCGTCACCTCCTTCGCATGCGTAAACATAGACACGCCGCTCTGCTCCCAGTCAATCAGCCGTATCCCATCCGCATCGTCAACGAGCATGTTCCCCGGCTTGACATCCATGTGGTACGTCCCCGCCACCCGGTGCGTATGCAGCACGGCGGCCGCCATGTCGCGACACCACCTCGCCTTGCGCGCCAGCGGGATCCGCCTGTCCCCCGCCTTTGTGATCTGGTCGTCGAGCGTCTCCCCCCTCATCACGGGCTGCAGGAACCCGCACACGCGCGGCGGGGCCCCGGTGCCGGTCCTGTTGTCTGTGTCCCCGTGGACGACCACCAGGTGGGTCGGGCACGGCATGATGTTGGGGTGCGGCGGCAGGGCGGCCAGGGTGCGGATCTCGTGCAGCATGGTGCGCTTTTGGTGTTCGTGGAAGTTCGGCCCGTGGTGCAGGAAGGCGTCGAAGTCGAAGCCCTTGAAGACGTGCCGCCGGGAGCACGAGGCGCGGGGGCAGGGCGAGGTACAGGTGCCCCGCGGAGTCACACTGACGACGCGGGCGTGGTTCTTGCCTGGTAGCCGGGAGTGTTCTGTCAGGTGGGAGAATTCGACCACGTCAAAGGCCGGATGGAGGCCGTCGTGGCGCAGTGAGGCCAGGAAGTCGTCGAGGGGGGTGAGCTGTCGTGTGTAGGCATCGAATTCGGAGTCATCGGGTTGGATGATGGACTTGGGTGCGGTGGTGGCCTTGAAGAAATGGCGGCCGGGTAAGAAGATGGAGGATGTGATGGAGGATGTGATGGAGCCCGTGATGGAGCCCGTGATGGATGTTAAAGTCCAAACCATGGTGACACGAAACAAGTAATGATCCGTCGAAGAATAGGGCGCAAAGTAAAAAAGCTCCAACTACTGGGAGCGTCTAATTAAGTCTTGCAATGGACACGGATAGGAGGCCTGACTGTCACTCTATGGACCAGTATCACGAGAGATATACCTCCGACAAGGCTGGCCGACGTTCAAGTGTAAAATCTGTCAGTGGAATGGGGAAATCATGGATCAAGGGGGGTAAGAAAGGGACGTCGTACTCAAGAATAATAATAATAATAGTAATAATAAAAAAGGCTTGAAACTACATAACGGACAAATGGCCCACAATCTAGAGGGCTGAATCGGGACTCATCTCATCTGCCAGGTAAAGAGAGCCCCGTTGCCCCCTTGCCTTGGATGACAGGCCAGGCCAGTTAGCCCCAGCGCGGGTTGGTTCCAAGATGCCTCGTTGTCTTGGGGGGTCCAGGTGTGTGTTCCGTTATGGAGGCCGATGATGACCGGGGGGGTGAGAGCCGATGGGGTGCAGATCGCAAACTCGCAGCAGGGCATCAGGGGATCGACCCAGGTAGACGAGATTACCCTAGCCTAGGTCCAAGTTACCGTCCAAGCTGGCGTCCAACGGAGCAACGTCAGCAGTCAGTCTTGACAGGGCAGGGCAATCAGCGGGCCGTCCCCGGCCCGGGGCAACGGTCAGCCTCGCAAATCCAAAGGACATCGTATTTTGAGAAAACAGGGCTATACGTATACTAGTAGGTAATTTAAGAGGTGAGCAAGGCAGGGCAAGTCTGGGCAGAGACCCAAGGGGGCAGGCAGGATTGCGGGGTGGGGTTGCAGGTTGCAGGTTGCAGGCTTCCTGCATGATGCTGCAGGCTGCAGGACGGACACACACACGGGGTGGGGGGGGGGGTTTGATGTGCAACCCTGAAGCAGTTCGAGGCTGTGAAATGTTAGGATGAGAGAGGTCCAGCCTAGGGAAGCAAAGTGTAAGTAAGGAGAGTTTCCGAGTACAAACGGGTGTGAACCGGGGAATTTCCCAGTCGCTCCCCGGGGTGGGCGGGACCCGTGGACAGGGGCCTGGAGCACCGGAGTGCCGTCATGGTCCACGAGGGGGGGAACACGCACGCGGTGATGCACGACTTGCAGAGATGCGAAAGCGGAAAATATCAAATTGATACTGAGGGTGGAATGGATGATTAGTTCACTATGAATAACCCTCGGCGCTTCTTTCTGGGAACAAAGGAAGGAACAAGAGACTCGAGAACTCGTGGAAGAGAGTTCTTTTCTCCGGGACGCCTGCAAGAGCAAGACACGGATAAGAGTCGAGGCTTTTGAGGAAACGGAGAATGCGCCTATGCAGGCATATGCACTGTGTGAGACAGATATCATCATAACTGGAGACCTCTCATAACTGACAGGCAATCAAAGACGAGATCGACCGACGATGGCTGCTGTGTAACACCAAGACCAAGAGTGAACGAACGGTTCGCGACGGAGAATCTTGGACGACAAGGGCCCTGTCCAAGAGACCGGGAGACCGGCGTCTGGGCTCTTCGGATCGAACGAGCTTGGGGCTGGTGGATGGGGTAGACCGTAGACGAAATGAAGACAAGAGCTGAGAGAGATTGAAGCCAAGAGAAGGGGTGTGGGACGTTGGGGGGAGGGGGGTGTGTCAAAGAGATGACATGACAGGTCAATTGGAAATGGACATGGAGGGAATCGTTGGTGGCGGGAATGATCAGGCGGTGGCTTGAGGTGTTGTCCGTTGGGCGGTTTGTTGGTTGACTGGTATGCATTTCTACCCGCGTTATTGCTTGGCCCAATTGGCAAGAAGCCGGGAGACGGGAGCGATACAACGTACATAATACAATGTGTCCGTAGTGTACACGTACAACGTAATTAGCAGGGATGGTGAAATGGGAAGAAAGATATTGGGGGGAGATGGAATCTTGCGGGCAGAATCTTATTATGAACCCCGTGAATCTGTTTCCGGCATGACGTTGGACCATTCTCCGCGGAGGACGGACCCGGAGGTTGCCGGAAGCCCGTGCGTTTATAATAGTTATTACGGAGTAGTCCGTACTCCGTAGACACAACGTATACCCGGCTTGTTCTTTTTGGTTGTTTTGTTTAGTTTGTTTTCCTTGGTTCCTTGGTTCTTTCTTTCCTTTCTTTTTTTCTTCTCCGGCCTCGAGAGTCTGGGGAAACGAATTCGGGAGGGTTGCGGCGGTGAGATCGTTGTAAGGGGAAGCGGTTCTCGGGGGTCGGGACCCGGTAACCGGATCATTCTTTGGTGAGCTATCTTACGTAAAGTGCCTGCCTCATATCATGCATAACATAACTAAATCGTAAAACTCACGGTCTTCCCTCTGATTCAGACAAACTAGTCGTCGCTAGCATCCATATATCTATAAGATACGCGAGAATAATAAACGACTACGTACAGTCTTCCCAAGTGCTTATATTCGGAAAACAATATAGATAGATATTAACGTATACTGCCTTAAGTATAAAGGATCGTAGGTAGTTCCGTACCGCGTTCCTTGCATCCTATTGTCAAACAGACCATATGACGGGGAACAGGCCAGGAACGGCAGGTGCATTAGTCAACCTACCTGGTACGGTAAGCTCGCCAATTATTGGCGAATTGCCCTTGGCGAACGTTGGACAAACCAACGTTGGAGCTCCACCAAAAAAGGGGAGCGTGTCAGATAAAGCGCAGTCAAAATCGTCACTCAATAGGTCAAAATTGATTGAGGTAATTGTGTATAATTGTAACTGTGTAAGGACCGTTACAGAATTCCTGCTACCGTGATATAGGTGGTGAAGATTCGGCAGGTGTCTACCCGGATTATCATCTCGGTAATGTATAGGAAAGAAGAAGGGCGAAGGGAACAATAGTACTAATAAACGGCTCCTATCTGGATTCGAACTCGTAGCTACGGAAGAGCTACGTAATGCCCTGCCGCCTTTAACAGCCCTTATAGTCCTATAATATAAGGCTAGTATATAGATATCTTAGTAAGCTGCCCGGGTTTTTAATAACTTGGATATAATAAAAGAATATTATCCTTATAGGAACACGAATTAGTGGTTATTTCTGCCTAGTTTAGAGGTAAAATAGATATATTAGTAAGAATTATAAAGGAAGATATATTTTAGTAGTAGGAAGAAGATAAGAAATTAGATAAAATAGAGGCGGCTTAGACGGTAATATTAGAAAGGCAGATTTAAGGGTTAGGGTTTAAGTGAATATTAAGATTTAAGTATTAAGATTAAGTGTTAAGATTAAGTTAGTTACGATACTTCCTGCGATTTTATATATATATATATATATATAATAGGTATAGTATATATACAGTTTAGCAGTTACATTATAGCCCGACTAAAAAAATCGATATAAGGTCTTGATATTAAAGCGTGAGGTCGCGCTCTTAGGTCCCTACTTTATAAAATAATAAAAATGTACGTATCGAAAGTATCGACATAGTATCTACGGGTACCTTAACCTATCCTGTACCCTCTCTACCTAAGCCCTTCACGGTGTAAGGCACGACCCTACCAATGTCCAGGTCCTTCCCACTGCATTCTCTTTCCCCTCTTTTGCCCCCGCGCCGTGCTCGCCTTTTCCTCCATTTCCCTACATTTTTTTCGACCATCCGACTCGTTCATCCGCCACTAAATATGCCCAGGAACCCATCCTACCCTACCCCCGGTGGCTTCTTGTGGCGTTCCCATTGCCGACGCTTGACTCAATAGAGTCGTTGTCGTGGGGCCGACAAGCTCAAGTTGCCAACCTCCCCCAGATACATCCGCGCTATCGTCGGCAGTTGCTCAGTTACCGTCCTCGGCGAGACTTTGGTGAACATTGCAGTCGAACCGCCGAGTTGTCCTTTGCGTTTGTGTACGTTGTACGGATAATGGTATCGTCGAGTCGAGTTCAGTCGATTCGTTCTTACGCTGGGGAATCGAAATCGAGACGAGCGCCTGGTCCTTGAGCCGCACCTGTCCAAAGGCAGAGGTTCCCTAGTTAGGAAGCTCGTCGGCCCCTTGTCTCTTCTTTGCATCTTGAGAGGGGCTCCCGTTCCTGCAGCCCGAGTTTATGGTTGCACCGTTGCACCGTTGCACCGTTGCGCCATTATATCCCATTCACACGCGACTCGACACGCCACTCGACTCACGTCAATGGTTCCCCTCCCCAAAAGCTTAGCTAGCTAGCTGCCTAGTTGGGTAGGTGATTGTCAAGCCTTCCCGGACCCGGACCTATTGTCCCTTCGTCTCGCTGCAACGATTTGCCCAAATCTCGCCCTTAGCCCTAGCCCCTAGCCAGCCAGGTACGTTATACCTTCCTTCCGTAGAGCATGCAATGACGCCGGTGTCACAATGTAACTGTCCGGGTGGACGAGCTCGGTCCAATGTTGTACTCGCCTCCCCTCTTCGAGTACCTACTTTAAGACCTTGGCCCCCCGCTCCTCCCTCACCTCTTCCTCTCTTGCCGTCGTTGCCCTGGCTCGCCCCTCGACCTCCTTTTCCCGCTTAACATCCTGACCCTCCCGTGCAGTGCACTCTCTACTTTGCACTTTGCTCTTTTTTTTTTAAACGAAAAAGGAAAAAGAAAAAGAAAGATTTTCCACAGTACACATGAGTATCATAAGCGGTCTGTCTCATCCGTCATCCATTGCAAGAAGGAAGGGAAGAGGGGAAAGCAAAAAAAAAAAAAAAAAAAAAGAAAAGGGTCGAGAGGCTGCCGGCGTGTGTGACTAGGGTCCCCCCCTTTCGATTCGGCCAATTGCGAGACGAACTCCCCGTCAGTTTCCAGACACTCAACTGCCGCCCATCATGGCTCGTCTCCTCCGCGCCGCGCCTGGTATCGCCGCCGCGGTCGTCCTTGCCGCACTGGTCGGGACTTCTTCGGCTCAGATCGAGCGTCCGCCGCACCAGCCCATCGGTGGCGGTGACCGCCTCATCACATGGAACGACACGCGGTCCGGAGAGTTCGCCGCCCGCTCGCGCTCCGTCAGCTGGATCTCCGGCACCGACGATGGCAGCTACATCTACCTCGATTCGTCCAGCGGTCTCGTAATAGAGGACATTGTTTCCGGCGACACCGAGGTCTTCGTACCGTCCGGAGATCTTCCCTCCAGTTTCCGCGAGTATTGGATCCGTCCCGACTTGCAAAAGGTTCTCTTCGCCACCAACGACACCAAGCAGTACCGTCACTCCTACTTCGCCGACTACCTCATCCTCGACGTTGCGTCTGGCGAGCTCACCCCGCTCGTCGACGACCAGGTCGGTGACATTCAATACGCCGAGCTGGCTCCCGTGGGCGACGCCATCGCCTTTGTGCGCGGTAACAATCTCTACCTGAAAAAAGGCGACGAGATTTCCCAAATTACCGCCGATGGCGGCCCGGACATGTTCCACGGCGTTCCCGACTGGGTCTACGAGGAGGAAATCTTCGGTGGCCGCTCGACCCTGTGGTTCTCCCCCGACGGCGAGTACCTGGCCTACCTCAGCTTCAACGAGACGGGCGTCGAGAGCTTCACCATCCCCTACTACATGGATGGCCAGGATGTCGCCCCCCTCTATCCTTACGAGCTCGATCTCCGCTACCCCAAGGTCGGCACCACCAACCCCACTGTCGCCTTCACCCTCCTCGAGGTCGAATCGGAGGAGGCGACGCCCCTCGAGGTCGACGCCTTCCCCGCGGACGATCTGATCATTGGTGAAGTGGTCTGGCTCACCAGCAACCATTCGAGCGTCGCCTACCGCGCCTTCAACCGCGTCCAGGACCAAGAGAAACTGGTCCGCGTCGGCGTCGACATCAACGGCCTGACCTCTACCGTCATCCGCGAGCGCGACGGGTCGGACGGCTGGCTCGACAACAACCAGGCCATCGTCTACGTCGGCCGCATCAACGGCACCTGCGACTCGTACTACCTGGACCGCTCCGACGAGTCGGGCTGGAACCACCTCTACCTGTTCCCCGTCAAGGGCGGCGAGGCCATCCCCCTGACCAGCGGCGAGTGGGAGGTCACCAGCATCCTGCACGTCGACACGGCCCGCCACCTCGTCTACTACCTCTCCACCGAGCGCCACAGCACCGAGCGCCACCTCTACTCGGTCTCCTACCCCAGCGGCCAGAAGAAGGCGCTCGTCGACGACTCCGTGCCCGCCTACTGGAGCGCGTCCTTCTCGGCCGGCGGCAGCTACTACATCCTCACCTACCAGGGCCCCAACGTCCCCTACCAGGAGCTCTACTCCATCGACTCGACCACGACCCCCGTCCGCACCATCACCGACAACCAGGGGCTCGTCGACAAGCTCGCGGACTGCAGGCTGCCCAACATCACCTACTTTGAGCTGGAGCACCCCGACGGCTACTCGTTCAACGTGATGCAGCGGCTGCCGGCCAACTTCGACCCCAGCAAGAAGTACCCGGTCCTCTTCGTCCCCTACGGCGGACCGGGCGCCCAGGAGGTGCACAAGCGCTTCCAGGCCGTCAACTGGCGCACCTACATCGCCTCGGACCCGGAGCTCGAGTACATCACCTACACGGTCGACAACCGCGGCACCGGCTTCAAGGGCCGCGCCTTCCGCACGCTGGTGGCGTCGCAGCTCGGCCAGCTCGAGCCCCTGGACCAGATCTGGGCCGCGCGGCACCTCAGCGCGCAGCACGACTTTATCGACGCGGAGCACGTCGGCATCTTCGGCTGGTCGTACGGCGGGTTCCTCTCGGCCAAGACGGTCGAGTACGACACGGAGGGCGTCTTCGCGTTCGCCTTTATCGTGGCGCCCGTGTCGGACTGGCGCTTCTACGACACCATGTACACGGAGCGCTACATGAAGACCCCCCAGCTCAACCCGCAGGGTTACAACGAGACGGCCGTGTCCGACCCGGAGGGCTTCAGGAACCTCCGCGGCCACGCCTTCATCGCCCACGGGCTTGGTGATGACAATGTGCACTATCAACATGCCGCTGCGCTCGTGGACTTGCTCGTCGGCGCCGGCGTCTCCCCTAGCAAGCTCAATTTCCACGCCTACACCGACTCGGACCACAGCATCGTCTACAACGGCGCCAGCACGTTCATCTACAAGGAGATGACGTCGTTGCTGTACAAGGAGAAGAACCGCGAGCCCGAGGCGCCGAATCACCAGTGGAGCAAGAGGCGCGAGACGAAGCTATAGGCTGGAGGTGGAATGGTACAGGGAGCCTGGTGGTAGAAAGCCCGGTGAACTGTATTTGAGAAGTATAGATGAACGTTTAACATTAGCGAGCATAAGTAAAACTCTATGATATGATGGAAATCCTCTTGAGATGGGAGTATCGTGACGTGGTCATTGTCCCTTGTTGTGTGCAGGTATTTCAGTACTACTGTTCTTCGGAATCCTTGAATGGAGGCAAACGATTTTTTTTGAAGTAAAAGTAAAAGTAAACAGAACACGTGACTACGCGTTTCACACGTGACACCACCCACCCACAACATCTTGTCGCGTTTCGTTCCGCTCTCCGTGACCCCTCCACACCCACACCTCTCACACCTCTCACACCTCTCACCTCTCACCTCCCCACCATCCCATTGGTAACTTGGCTGCAGAATGACCAGATTTGGAACCATACAAGACACCAGCACCCATCCCCATATTCATCCGCCTCAGTGCATTCATTCTCCAAGTCGCCACAACTGATACATTTCCGTGTCTATCCGACTCTAGACACAGACTCACAGTGGTCCCCATTCCGCTCACTTGACCCATCTTGTTCTTCCCACCAGAAGCCCATATCCCGTCGAACCCGTTCTTCCTGAATGACGAAGCAAGTGCTCGGCCCAACACAGCGAAGCCGATCATGGGGGACGAGTACGACTCAGGAGACGACCTCTTCGAGGGCGTAACCGAGAGTGAACTCCTCCGGCCCTCACAACCCAAACGTCCGCAAGAGTTCGACGACGATGTCGACTTCACCGAGTTGATCAACAACAGCGACGACGCATCCGCGCCGAACAAGCGGGCCCGGACCTCTCCCGAGCTGAAAATGCGCCTCGCCGCGAAGGTCCTGGAGGAGACGTTCGGCTACGGCTTCTTCCGGCACGAGCAGCGGGACGCGATTCGCCGGATCCTCGACGGGGAGAATACGTTAGTCGTCTTCCCGACGGGGGCGGGCAAGTCCCTCTGCTACCAGGTAGGTACCCCTCTGCCCCTCTGCCCCTCTGCCCCTCTGCCCCTCTGCCCCTCTGCCCCTCGAGCCGGTCTGACCGCCTGACGAGCGGTATCTACGATGGTTTGGCAAGTCGAGACTCAAAACAATTAACCGTGCTCAGATCCCCGCCATTGTATTCGAAGAAATGGACCGAGAAACGGGCGAGCGGGATGAAGGCGACTCGGGCGTCACGATTGTCGTGTCCCCCCTCATCGCGCTCATGAAGGACCAGGTGGATGCACTCCGACGGAGAGGCGTGGCGGCCGAGTGTATTGACTCAACCAAGACGTGGCACCAGGTGCAGGAGATCACGGCGGACTTGCGGTGCGGGAAGCTGCGGCTGCTGTACTGCGCGCCTGAGAGGTTGAACAATGAGGGGTTCGTGGAGTCCATCAAATACGTACGGGGTGGGGTGCGTCTTCTTGGGGTGGATGAGGCGCATTGTATATCAGAGGTTTGTCCGTGTTTCCCTGGGCGAGACGGTGAGACTGATACTGATGCTGAGTTGCTGACGTTTGGTTTAGTGGGGGCACTCTTTTAGACCGGATTATCTCAAAGGCACGTATGAGTGCACTTGTGCCGTTTGGAGTCCCGTCCCCTGAATGGTATAATGGGACTAACAGGGAGCAGTGGCGCGATTTGTCCAGGAAGTCCAGGCCGAGAGGGTCGTCTGCTTGACGGCTACCGCGACGCCTGTAGTAGCCGACGACATTTGCAAGGCCTTCACCATCGCCAAAGAGGGTGTCTTCCGAACCTCGCCTTACCGTCCAAAGTGAGCATACGCCCAATAACCCCGTCTTCCTTCTGTGTACTCCTACTAATCTCCATGTAGCCTATACCTTCAAGCAATGACTGTGAATGCGGATGATAAATTTGATCTCTTGTTTACCTATCTTCGCAGACATACAGGGTCGACGCTCGTATATGTCACCATGCAAAAGGTAATGCTGCGTCTTCTCCACGGCGTTTCGTGTTACTGATTGGCGAAGCTACACAGCAAGCGGAAGAAGTGGCCTGGTTTCTAAGGACGGTCAAAAAGTTCAAAGCCGAAGCGTTTCATGCCGGGATGAAACCCGAGGTGAAGACTCGCGTCCAAGACCAATTCATGGCGTCTGAAATCGATATTGTATGTTTGCGGGGCATGAGCTTCTTTTTCCTTCTCTCTTTCTTCTGACACATTGCCCAGGTCGTCGCGACTATTGCCTTTGGAATGGGCATCGACAAGCCAGGTAAGGTCTCTCCGCTTCTGTATCACCAAAGGATCAAACAGCTTATGATTATCATGCCTAGATATTCGCAACATCGTCCACTGGGACCTTCCTGGTACGGTCGAGGAGTACTGCCAACAAGTCGGTCGCGCAGGTCGAGATGGCGAGGATAGTTACTGCATGCTCTACCTGTGTGAACGAGACTTTTACATCAGGGAAATGTTTGCACGCGGTGACCTCCCGTCCAGACAAGGCCTCCGGTCCCTCTTCAAGGACATCTTCAACGATGAAGTCCGCCAACTTCCCGCCGAGGGGACCTTCAAGACAAGTCACCATGCCCAGTCGTCCGAGTTTGACATTCGGCTCAGTCCCCTCGGCGTCATCTACGCACTCCTCGAACTCCGCTTCAACCTCATGCGGGCCACCGCAGCAGAATACAGCGCATACTCGTTCGAGGCTGCGTCCAGCTACCTCACCCACTTGAAGTGCAACAACACCCCCGAGGCGAAAGCCATCCTATCGCACGCCCGCAAGACCAGCAACAGCAAATACCACCACATCGACCCCACCGCCGTCTCCCGCCAGACGGGCATACCGCGCACCAGCATCATCAGGCGGCTCAACGACCTCCACGACGCCGGCGCCCTGCGACTCAAGACCAGCGGCGTGCTCAACAAGTACAAAGTCCTCGGAACTCTTCCCCGAACGGACGGCGAAATCGACCAACTGACGGACAAGGTGTACGCCGAGCTCGAAGGGCGCGAGACGCAGGCGATGGAGCGGACGCAGCAGGTCGTCGACCTCTTCGCCAGCCCGACCTGCTTCGCGCGCGGCCTGGCGAGGCATTTCGGCATGGACCTGCCCGACGGGAGCGTCCGGTGCTCGCGCTGCACGTTCTGCGTGCTGGGGCGGCCCCTGTGGCCGCCCCCGATGCCGCCCAAGGTCGTGAGCCACGCTGGGATACAGAGGGTCCTCGCGGCGACGGCTGTCAGGGACGATCCGCGCTTCCTGGCCCGCGTGGCGTTTGGGATCAGGAGCCCGCGGGTGAGTCGGCTGGGGCTTGACAAGAAAGCTGTGTTTTCGTCCCTTTGGGATCATGATTTCAAGGTTCGTTATGTGCACTACTCTTTTTTTGGCCCTGATAGTCGGATTGTTGGAGTGCTTTCTGGCTAACGTGGTTGCGTGTAGTCGCTCTTGGAAGAGTTCACCAAGGCTTGTGAGATTAAACAAGAACCAGGACTTGGCGGTATATAAGGACCTGATCACCATACAGCACGAATCTTCCGGCGAAGCGCTGAACGGTTTTCTTTTCTCTGTGCATTATATTATCCTATATTGCTGTATTAATCTATTATTCTGCAACCTACACAGCCATTCTTCCGTCAAACGCAAATCGAACAGGCCATTGATGGCATTATTTACACAACCCTGCGCCCCATATCGTCGCCGCTATCCTCTCTCTTGATAGTGATGTTGTTGCGTGGCATATCCTCCTCCGCATCGTCACTATCTTCTTCCAAGTCATCACTATCCTCCACATCGTCACTATCCTCCACATCGTCGCTATCCTCCACATCATCACTATCCTCCGCATCATCACTATCCTCCGCATCGTCACTATCCTCCTCCATACCGTCTCTATCCTCTCTCTTCGTGATAGTGATGATGTTGCGGGGGATAGCCTCCCCGCCGGACCGTCTCCAAAAATATGCTTCTCTCTTGATCTTGATACCCCAGCCGTCCATGGGCCCACCAATTCCCTCCTCCACAAACGGCAGCAGGGTCTTGTGGAAGATGACTTGGGCAGGCCGTTCAATCTTGACCTCGCGAAGGTTCGGCAGTCGACCGCCCTCGATCAACCTCCGTATGTTCTCGTTGGCCTGCCCGAACAGATGCGGCTGCCAGAAGGCGCTGGCTCTCTGCGCGAACTTGGCGTCCATGTACAGGAAGAGCGACTCCAGCGACTCCGGGAGGAACTCATCGAGCGGCGGCACCCTGTACTGCCATTCCCACTTTTCGTCCTCGGGGTGCCCGATGAGATCGAGCTCGGCAACGCTGAGACGCCGCAGCGACGTCAGCTCCCGAAGGGACCCGAGCCGGCCGGAGAACACCAGGGCGGGCGCCATCCTCGCGAACGACGTGTGCAGCCGCAGCTCGACCAGGTGCCGTCCTTTCCTCCGCAGGACGTCCCCGAACGCGTCCAGGTCGACGGACCGACATTGGGGCCGCCAATGGTCGACCCGGCGCGGGCCGGCCATCTCGATCCACAGCCGGCGCAGCCACCTGCCGCGCGTCAAGATCTCTTCGAGCCCCGGAGCCTGGAGCAAGCACTCCTTGAGCTCGAGGTGCTTCGCCGTGTAGGGGCGATCCGGCCACCCCGGTCCGAAAGTGCCGCGCCAGTCCGGGGGGTAACCGTCGCTGGGCGTCCACCACTCGAGCCCCTGGAGGCGCAGCGTCTCCAGGGTGGGCGGGATCAAAAAGAATTGCCTTTGCGGCATGGACCATACCCGTAGCCGTCCCTCACTGCTCGGCGACCGTACCCGTATTTCCCGGAGTCGATGCACTCTAACCAATACATCCAGGTCGAAGACGGACTCCCGCTTCCACGTGGTAACGCCGCCCCTCTCCCGGAAGCGGCGCAAGGGGCCACAGGGGACAGAAGGTTCCCGACTCGGGCCGAACTCGAACACTTGGAGGTAGTATAGAATCAAGTGTATGGTCGAATCAGAAGAAAAAGTCAGGGGCCTATCCTTACCCAGTAAACAATCATCCGGCGAGTCCATTGTCTCGATCGCGGCCATCGTCCGGTACAGCAGAGGCCGGGCCAGGTCGTCGAATAGCCGGCAGACGCGGCATAGCGAAGCGAGGGCGTTCCTGGCCGAGTGGTCGATCCGGTTGTCCGCTTCCAACCACCAGTCGTGGGCGGACGGTCCGACCTCCAGGAAGCTGAAGATGTGTTGCCAGACCTCGGGCGGGACGAACGGCATGTTGTTGGATGTGTCCATGGCGAGTGAGTTTATTCGGTAAGGAATGGGAATATGTGAACAGTGAAGGATAGCTGAGGGAATGAGAAGTGTGGGATGGGACTCATCAAATGGGGGCAAAGTATCACTTATACGAACGGTCCAAGCCCTCTGACAAAAGAACCCTCATGTCTGCACATATTGTCAAGGGTCCCTAATCAGGTATAATGGTGTCGAAGGGAAAATTACCAAGTCCGCGGTGGCGGACTGTTTCGGTCAGAGCGTGCATACCGGTGAGTGTACGTTGTAGGTCTCTTTACATGGGTTGAGTGCCGGGCTTTCGACCTTCGCCGCGCCTTGTTCAGTCCCCGGACCCGGGTCGACTCAACCGCTTCTCGGATTGGGATTGGATGCTCCACCATCCCCACAACCCGAAATTCCGGATAAGGTACCTCAGCTTAGGTTCCTTGTGTACAACTAAGATACCCACCTAGGTACACCTAGGTACTAAGGTATCAGTCAAAGGCAAGAGCAGCACGAGCGCAAGTTATATGCTGCACAGCCGCTCATACTCTTTTCTGCTTCAAATGCTGGCTTAATGATGGGCCGGGATGCCATAGTGACCGGCGCGTGGTTCGATGAATGAGAATCATGGATAGCATGTAGATGTGCTCACTGTGAATATGAAGCTGGCTTGCTGTCGGTATATGTAGGCGGTCAACGGCGGAAGAAATGGGATGGATAACCCGTCAGATAACACGATTATTTTTATTTTATTTTAATTTTATACCTGAACTTTTTGGTCAAAATAATCTAGTCCCTTTGTACCGGTACCTGATACGGACTTTGGTACAAAGTTACGAATCCTAGACGTTTCCGCAAGACAATAAAAGGCCGTATCTAAGGTACCTAGTAATTATGGTAATTAAACAGCCTTATCTACCTGAGGTATCGTTTCTGTTTCTTATCGGCGGGGTGCCCACTCCAATACCTCGATACCAATATTGCCTTTCGCTGCCATGGCAACGGAAAGAAGTCAACCACGGATACACGGCCCAGAGTATTTACTATTTACCGGTTTACTGGAAATGCTCCTCCCTCTTGAATTTGCACTGCAATAGAATCAACACACTACTCTCGGACGTCTACAACGTAAGACGCAAGTCCCCCGAAATGTGATGCGTCTAGCCTAGAACTGCTCCTGTGAAATGCATCGGGATAGGGATGAACCAAGCAACTCCTTCGCAAGTTGCAAGCTATCTAAATACGCGCCTCAACTGCCGCTTTGATGGCTATGAAAGAAGTGTCCGTCAGTGAGTGCTGGCATAAATAGCAGACAGATCGTTGGCTAGAGAAGAACAAAAAAAAAAAAAAAGAATGCGAAACAGAATACTCACCATCGCAACTCGTCTTCGCATCGCCAAAGAGCATCCTCGTGTTGGGCTTGTAAAACATGGGGTTCGGGACATCAGCTAAAAAGAGGAAAAAGGAAAAAAAATCAAGATGTCAGCCTTAGTTCTCACACTGCAACACATCTCACGGCCCCCGGGCAACACAACTCACCGTATCCACTGGCCATGCCTCGCTTCATGACAATCACCTGCTTGCTCTTCCACGCCTGCAGCACCGGCATACCCGCAATCGGGCTACCCGGCTCCAACGCGATCGGGTTCACCGTGTCGTTGGCCCCGATCACAAGCGTGACGTCCGTGTCGCCAAAGTCATCATTAATCTCGTCCATCTCCAGCACGATATCGTACGGCACGCTCGCTTCCGCCAGCAGCACGTTGCACTGCCCCGGCATGCGGCCCGCCACCGGGTGGATGGCGAATCGTACGTTGACCCCCTTCTTGCGCAGCATCTGCGTAATCTCGCTGATGGCGTACTGCGCCTTGGCCACCGCCATGCCGTACCCCACCACAATGATCACGTTCTCGGCGTTCATGAGCGCGTCGGCCGTGTCGTCCACGTTGGTCTGCGTCACCGAACCCTCAATCTTGTACTCGCTGGCCGGCTGCGACGATATGCCCCCGAACAGCACGTTCGTCAGGGACCGGTTCATCGCCACGCACATGACGTACGAGAGGATGGATCCCGACACGCCGATCAGCGCACCGACCGACGTGAGCAGCGGGTTGTCCAGCATGAACCCCTCCGCCACCAGCGCGAAACCCGAGTACGCGTTCAGCACGGTGATGATCACGGGCATGTCGGCACCGCCGACCGCCGCCGTCGTCGTGTACCCCTTGGCGAAGGAAAGGAGAGTGTTGGCTCCCAAAGCCGCCGCCGCGAGGGTCGGAGAACCCGGAGCCATGGTGACAAAGGCTCCCATGGTGGCCATGTTCGTGGCGAGCATGCCCGAGTTCAGGAGGTGTCGTCTGGGCAGCACGAGAGGCTTCGACGACATCTTGCCGGCCAGCTTCATAAAGGCCACAATGGAGCCGGTGAAAGTGATACCACCGATGAGGACGCCCAGGTAGCTGGTGACCAAGTGCAGTGTAGAAATGTCTCCCTCGATGTGGCCCATGACGCTGCCGATCGAAGTCAGAACGGCCGCTAATCCGACCACCGAGTGGAGGGCGGCAACGGTCTGCGGCAGGTCCGTCGGCGTGATACGCTTCCCGATGACAAGGCCAACGATGCTACCCAGAGCGGCGAGCCCCGCAAACTGGGCCAAGACGTCCGGGCTGAAGCCGACAGCCAGGAGAGAGGCGAGAACTCCGGACCCGACGCCCAGCATGCCGAGCATGTTGCCCATGCGAGCCGTGGCCTGGGACGCCAAACTCGAGATGGAGCTGATACAAAGCACGGAGCTGACGAGATAGCCAGCCTGGACCAATCCTGCCGCTCCCGTCGATGCGGCTGCAAGGAAGCCTCCTCCGAACACGGCGGCAGGGATAGCATAAAGCCAGGGGTACTCGGGAGGATCCGTCGGCCGCTTGAACATGTCGAGCATCCGCTTCGTGATGACGAAACCGCCCGACACGTTGACGAAGGCGAGAAGAACGGACAGGGCACCGAAGACCTGAGGGATGGTCTGGGGGAAGAACCCTCCACCCAAGATGAATAGGCCGCCAACGCCGACCATGCCCGAGATTGCGTTGGTCACGCTCATCAAGGGCGAATGAAGAGCAGGCGCGACACCCCAGACGACACGGTAGCCGACGAGGGACGCCAGTGCGAAAGTGAAGGCGTTGCTCATGAACAAGGGACCGGTGAGCTTTCCCAGGCCCACGACTGTGCCCATGCCAGCTGTGATGGCTCCGACCTGCCTGGCCGTCTTCTGGAAAGGGCTAAGTGCGAGTTCGGCCTCCTTCGCCGCGGGCGCAGATTGGGCCGGGGCAGGCGGCGGGGCGGGACGGGGCGCTGGGGGGATAACCTGGCCGTTCTGGGTCACGATGGCACCCCGAACAACCGCATCGGATAAATCGATCCCAAACTCCTTCTCCTTGGGCGCCATGGAAAGAAGTAGTCTCGTGATATTGTTCGAATAAAGAGTGGACGACTGGGTTGGAAGCCTTGACGGGAAGTCGGTGAAGCCTGGCGATCGGTATCAGTATCACTATCAATATCAGTAGGTGGGCTCGCATTCTTCAGTACTCACCGATAATCTTGACGTCTTTGTAAACGGCGATTTCACCAGGCTTTGTCTTCTCGCAGTTGCCCCCGGCCTCGGCGGCCAGATCCACGACAACCGAGCCGGGTTTCATGACCTCGAGCATCGCCTTGGTGATGAGCTTGGGGGCAGGTCTGCCCGGGATCAAGGCGGTGGTGATGATGATGTCGACTTCGCGGGCTTGTTCGGTGAAGAGCTTCATCTCGGCCTCGATGAATTCCTTGGACATTTCCTTGGCGTAGCCTCCGGCGCCGGAGCCATCTTCCTTGATGTCGACTTCGATAAACTCGGCACCGAGAGATTGGACCTGCTCACGGGCGGCAGACCGAGTATCGAAACCGCGGACGATGGCACCGAGTCGCCTGGCCGTGGCAATGGCGCTGAGACCAGCGACTCCGGCGCCGATGACAAGGACTTTGCAAGGGGGAATCTTGCCTGCGGCGGTGACCTGGCCCGTAAGGAAGCGACCAAAGTTGTTGGACGCCTCCAGGACGGCCTTGTATCCGGCAATGTTGGCCATGGAGCTCAGGGCATCGAACACCTGGGCTCTGGAAATGCGGGGGACCATGTCCATGGCGAAGGAGGTGGCGTTCTTGGCCGCAAGCTTTTCCACGATGGCTGTGTTCTGGGCGGGTTGGAGGAACGAAATTACCGTCTGGTTCTCCTTCATGAGGTCGACCTCGGTAGCGATGGGCCCGCGGACCTTGAGCACAATGTCGGCGTGGGCCCAGACTTGGTTGGCCGTGTCGACCAGGGTAGCACCGGCACTCTCGTATGCTTCATCGAGGAAGTCGGCCGCTACACCGGCACCCCTCTCGATGAGGACCTTGGAGAAGCCCTTTTTCAGCAACAGGGTAACATTCTGGGGGGTCAACGCTACCCGACGTTCGTTCAGTAAGATCTCCGTCGGCGCGCCGATGGTTAATTGGCCGTACGGAGTGGTCGGTGGGAGCACAGTAGCAGTGGAGGGAGGGTCCTGGGTGGAAGACGGTTGGCCGGATACAACAGAGGCATGGCGGACGAGCTGCAGCGGCTTGTAGAAGGCCGGGACGAGAGAATGGTATGGGTTTGGGCGGTTGGGTCGGAAGGAGCTATGCCATCTTCTTTGCGCAGGAATGGCTGCAGCATTCGCAAGAATTGGGGTAGGTGTCGCGGCTACGGATCAGGGATAGGAGTCAGCAACTAGCGCGAACGAGAAACATGACTGGCGCCGCTTCGGGTAATTGTTCCTTGTTCTTGCATAAGTTTTGAACGGCGTCAGGGGGAACATACCCCGAGCATGTGTCGCCCACGGGACGAGGCGTGCCACTGTTCCCAGAGAGCAAGCTCCGGGAGCTGCGAAAGGCCGCAGAACGGAGAAAGGCATGATGGCGGATTTAGCAATCAGCACCCGAGTCCTGACGTATCAGGCCAGATGGACCGCAGCACAAGGAGCCGCCGCTCAAGTACCTGCCATGGGCCTCGAGGGTCGACAAGAGGTTGGATGGGTCGCTGGGAGGAAAAGAAGAAAAAAAACTTGAAGGCGAAGAGGGGAAAAGAAAGGAAGGCTGAGAATGAGGAGAATTGGCGGGCAAGGAGTTGAAACCGGGGAAAGCTAGCGGGGAACCGACCCCTCCAGGCCAAGGCCAAGCGAATCTGTCTGCCACAGTAATAAGAATATTCGTTAAAGTGACAACTTCTCCTACTGTACTGAATAGGTGTGCAGTTGCGTTGTAGTTGTGCGATTGTGCGGCGTTCCGAACGGGGGGGGGGGATCTCAGCGAAGCTTGTCCAATCGAACCACGTCCGTCCCGTCCGGTTGTGTTTGTCCGGTCTAGACGGTCCACATCGTGCAGTTCAGTTATTCGACAGATGACTCTTCCCCGCTCGTTGGGACTTGGAAGATCTTGAAGAAAAGAAGGGTGATGAGCTGTTGCAGCTGGGACGGGGGCATGTGAAGGTGGGTGGTATAGAAGAAGATTGTTCATTGGAGGGGAATTTCATATTGAAGGCGAGGGAGGTTGGTGGTTGTAGCACGTCCTCGGCGTACCTGAACAGCGGGGGGCGCCTGCCCAATTGTCACAAAACGTCATACTTCCCCTCAAATATACTCCGTATTTCGTATCCTCCAAGTCAAAAGCATGCCTCCGGAGTACGGGGTATGTACGAAGTACGGAACGGAACTTCGTATCGCAGGACGAAAGACTTCGGGGTGCATTGTTGGAGATGGAAGGCTGTGGGTGGCAGCTGCACCACATTGGAGCGACAAGTGGGGTCACTGCACAATCTGCGTTTGCAGTGCTGCATTGTGGATGTGCGGGGTGTGGGGCAACCTTCCAATGCCCTGAAGTCATTCGCTGTACAAAGTATCCGTACACAATAAACTCTCTGCACAATCTCTTCTGCACCCACACACCATCACGAGGTATTACGCCTCCCCCCCGTGACCAGCTCCCCAATTGATTGTAGGTTAGGAGATTGATTTCACAATCACAGCGAATTGTAATAAACCGTACGGCAGCAGGCGTACAGCCCTTACGACGGTAGCTCGAGGCTTGGGGACAAGTCCTCATGGCCGTGGGATGACGTACAAAGTTCAGTTCATAATAAACTTGGCGACGAGGGCACTATTTCGGGGCTTTTATCGCCCGTAACCAATTACATTGTAACTGACCCGTTTTCATGGTTTTCAGCGTCCTCTCCAGGTTCTAGCGTACCTTATTCCAAAGGCCAAAATTTTAAGAAGCCGAGGTGCGCTATATCGATACATTCGTATTTCGGCACACGGAGTAGGGTGCGAAAACAAGTGCTAGGCAGATGAGTATGTACATATTGGGTACTGTATAATTACTATGTATGTACGATTGTACCCTGCCGAGGTCAAAGGCTTCCTGTAGTTCCGTCGTGTCGAGATTGCAAGTTCGTTCAAGGTTGCAGGGAATGGCTCCTCCGGGCATATGCAGTACATATTTCTGGAAATATAATTCTGGAAATAGTCAGATAAACCACGGAAACATGGTCTTTGGAAACAAGGACGAAAAATTCTTACGATGCACCGTGGGCAATGGCGGACACCGTGACTGTCCTTTTTACGTCCGTGGATTGAACCAGTATACAGCATTCCTACCCAGGTCTTGGAAAGGAAAGGCTCTTGGCTTTGCCTCCACAATTAAGGACATGAACATGAACGATACTAATAAATCAAAATAATATAATCACATTATACAAAAGACTCCAATGGCTGAAACCGTCATGTTGTACCGCGTGCTTAAACACATTCTGATATTGGGACCCTTTACATTGCAATGTATACCTCTTTTCCAAAAGAGTGAGTGCCGCGTCGATTTCGGGGTAGCTCGATTAAATTTTTGTTCCTTGAAAAAGAAAGAAATAAATAAAGAAATAAAGTGAGACAATGAGAGAACAAAACGAATAATAACAAAAAAAGAATCTGCTTGCACCTGGGTTCGAACCAGGGACCCCTTGCGTGTGAGGCAATTATGCTTCCACTACACCATGCAAGCAGTACATTTGCTCCTGAGGTACAATCGCGGCTCGCAAGCTGACAAGGGCCACCGATCACCGAGCTCGCAACCACAGCTATAACTTTTCGGGACAACCATTTCCCGAAACCCGGTTGTGGACCCCAGTCCAATCCAACGACCGATGAACGATTCCAACTTCCGCATCACGAATTGAGAAAGCAATCCCGTCCCTGCAGCGAAGACCACACCAGCACGCGAGGCGACACTCCATCCCTTTAGCGACCGGCAATCCCTGCGAGCACGCTAGCCATCCTCACCTCACCCGTCGTCTGCCGACCACAACCACTCACCCACGATGGTCTCCCGGATTCTCTTCTGGTCCGGCTTCGGTATGTGAACCGCCCCAGCTGAACCTACCTACCTCTCTCCCACCCTTCCAGACAACCAGTTGAGCTCGCATCTCCCCCAAACGGCTTTCGCAAACAAATTCGAGAGGGAAATGAGCGCTAACAATTCCATCACAACCCTCCCTCCCAAAAAACAGGCTTCGCCGTCCGCTTCTGGCAAATGGGCATCGAGATGCGCCCATTCTTCACCCTCAAGACCTTCTGGGCCTACCCCGCCTACGCCGCCGGCGGCGGCGCCTTCGGCTACTGGCTCCAGGGCGTCGACGAGAGGCAGGCCGCCACCCTGAACGAGCGCAAGGCCGTGCTCCTCGAGAAGCGCGCCCGCAAGGCCGCCAAGGATGCCGAGGCTGCGTCTGCTACCGTCGCTGCCGCGTAAAAAAACACGAACCGAGGATACGACGCCTAGACTTGTGGATAGAGTCGGATTCAACAGAAAAAGAAAAATAATCTTTACAATGGGGCCGGAGTTGAGCAAACAGCCGTGTGTGAGAATACCGGCTGATGCATCGAGGTGGGATCCTCACGGATATTTTTCGGGACAGGAATGGGAAACGCAACTATCAGAAGGGTTGTCATCGCTCAGGGATGAAGGTGCAGCGTGTCACTAGACATTGGTCCCGACAATCCAAAACACGCACAAACGTCGGCAGATTCTAGTTGTATATATGGGACTGCCGGCGCAATTGACCTTGTCAAAAATTTCTTTTGTGTATTCCGGGATCCCTATCGTCAAATGAGGACATCGTATCATACCATACCCTGATGCCAATGCCAAAACCGAACCTCCCAACCAAACCTTTTGTTACGACTGGTCATCATCAGCCCAGCCCAAAGAGGCAAAAAGCTAGTGCAAATGGTATCTACCTCCCAAGGGAGGATTTAAAAAAATAAAAAAAATAAAAAGGAAAAAAAATAAAAAGAGAATAAGAAAATTCGAGTTGTCTCGCATCACCCAAATACAAAACGCAGCGCCCTGGATAAAGTTCCAAGCGCCACCAATCCTTAGTCCGGCCAAATTGTTGGTTTGATGTACCGTACAGGCTCACAGTTCCTCCAACTTTCGCATGATGACGGGAACCGAGGCCGGGGCGGTCTTGCCCAGCTCCGTGACAACGGCCGTGATGTATTTATCAGGCGTGGTATCGAAGAGCAGACGGAAGCTGTCAGCAGTGTGATGATCCGGGTCGATCTCGTTGTACGTCTGGGAATCAATGGCAACACGCTCGGTGAAGTTGATGGTGGAGCAAAGGCCGATGACTGGGACCCCCAAGTCATTGGCGAAGAGGGCCACGTCGCACGTCCCCGCGCAGGCGTACATGGCGCCATTGCTAAACATGGACTCGGCGCCGAAGAACACGAGGCTCGCTTCCTGGAGAAGGGTGCCCAGGGCGGCGAGGTGGGGGACGTAGCTCACGCGGATCCCCTTCTCGCTAAGGCGGGGGACGAGGGCGCGGCCGGTGGGCTCGAGCGGGTCGTCGATGATCATGACGCGGAAGTTCTTCTGCTGCTCGAGGCGCGCGTGGAGCAGGGCGCGCTCGACGAGCGGGTCGTGCATGAAGGTGACGACGAGATCGCCCTGGGGCGAAATGAGGTCGGCTGCGAGCTCGACGATGACGACGTCGGCCACGTGGATGCGCTCGCGGAGGAAGTTGTCGATGGCCTCGGTGAGGTATTTCTTGGCGTCGGCCTCGGGCAGGTCAATGTCGATCTTGCTGACCTGCATCTTGAGCCAGCGGACGGCGTTGCCCATGGAGAAGCACATGGGGCGGCAGGCGCTGAGGTATTCGACCTGCGGGTTCAGGACGTGGGAGGTGAAATGGCGCGACAGGGTGCTGCCCTGCGGCGTGGTGTACGAGTCGATGACCTAAGGTCGGGTGTCGGGTGTCGGGTGTCGGGTGTCAGCACAGAAAAGGAGAAAAGAGAGTCGAAATGGAGTGGAACAAAACCTGTTTGAAGGCCAACAGCGTAGCCTCGAGCCGGTCGGTGCTGTTGGTAAGCGCAAAGGCGCCCATCTTCTGACCAAGAGCAAGCACGGCTGGGTGTACATCTTTGTCAGCCTGGGTGATAGAAATGCGCTTGGCCATGGACAGATGGCTGAAGCACTCGGGCACATCGGCCATGTGGTCGGTGTTCTTCGCCGTCGGGGCCATGACGATAGGCTGCTTCGTGCTCTGCGCTTTGGAGTTGGCCGAGGCAGCGGGCTGAGAAGCGTCTGATTTCTGCTTATGTTTCCCGCCCTTGGCTTCGTTGCCGGCGTGGCCCTGGGGGGCATGAGGTGCGCCTGCTGATGCGGGCGGGGCTTGTTGGGCAGCCTTCTGTTGAGCTCGTCGAGCTTGCTTCTCCGCCTTTGCTTTGGCCTTCAATTCGGCATTGGATAGCTTCTTCTCGCCTGACGGCCCTTGGTTGTCCCTGGCTACAGGCTTGTTTGGTGCTGGCTTGGTGGTCGGGGCAGGAGCAGTCGCAGGGGTGGTATTTCCAGGGCCTGTTGGCTGGTCATTCTTCGGCGGGGCCCGCGCGGGAGGTGCATCCTTCCTCTCTTCTTGCTGAATGGGCTTAGTCGTCCCGGAAGGCACAGTGCCCTGGGCAGGACCACTGCCCTCAGTCACCATCTTGGGCTTTGTGGGTTGGCCGTTGCTTGTCGTAGAGGGCAGTATCGCGGGGTCGATAACGCCTTGGCGGAGCCGGAGCCGTCAGGGGAAAGAGAATTTGCGGGTGCTCCGTACAAGGGGAGGTACGGCGTTCTCAAATACATAGAAGAAACGTACGAGATGCTGTATGAACTGGCAATAGGTAAGTTGTGGACTTTAGCTTGCGCACAGGATTCCTTGCCTTGGGAGCATGAAGTTTGTACAAAGCAACTGCCTTGGGGATCTGAATGCATGAGGGATGTGTCATACCTCGAACTCGAACTTGGCTGGTACCCCACTAAAAACTGCGATCATATCGGATCTAGGGTGCAGTACCTAAGGTAAGGTACCTACCTACGTACCTTACCTTAGGTACGCACTTTTGAATACAGCGACTTGTTGTAGTGTATATCACGTGGGGTGGGGGTGGCTAGGGGTGGCTAGGGGTGGCTAGGTGTGGTTAGGTGTGGCTGAGGCGGCCAAGGCGATGTTTTAGAGACGTCGACTATATTGCAGTGCTCGAGCTCGCTAGCAAAGTGGTCGACTATTTAGACAAGGCTCGAAACGCCCCAAGGGAACGCGAAAGACTCTTCAGCGAGATCAGCAGCATCACTGGTGTACTGTTCTTGGTGAGCAGTCAGTCAGAGCGAGCGTCCCATGATAAGGAGAGAAGCGACAGTCTGTCCAGCGCCGTAAATTCCCTGGCCATCCCCGGCGGTCCGTTAGACCAATTTCAAGGACTGCTAGAGAGTCTTGCATCCAAGTTTAGCCCCGCGGGTGCCGTCAAAAGACTTGGCCGGCGGCTCACATGGCCCTTCGAGAAGAGTGACATAGCCGAGATCTTAACATCGCTAGAGAGGCTCAAAACCCGCTTCCTGCTCGCGCTTCAATCCGACAATCTGTAAGTACTGCTCAGCCGTGTGGATAAGAAGAGTGTCGCTAAATCCAAACCCAGTGATTTCTCGAGGGCTACTAGATCGGCCGTCGATAAAGTCTTAGATGATGTTAGGTGGCTACGACTTGGCAAGGATGGTATCAAAGGCCTCCCCCCCGCGTGATAGACACCCAGGGATCGGAACGGGGTTTGGCTGATCAACCTCCAGACCAAGAATGTGAACGAATCCTGGACTAGCTCTCCATCGCAGACATGGAGAAGCGGCACGCAGAAATCTTCTCGCGATATCACAAGGATACTTGCTCTTGGTTCTTGGAATCAGAAGCGGTCACCAGCTGGCTGGAACGAGAGGACGCGAACCGTGTGCTCTGGTGCCTAGGAGATCGTGAGCGCGCGCCCTTGCCAAACGTTCGCCTCAACTCGGTTATTACTGACTTTGGACGCAGCCGGTGCTGGGAAGACGGTTGTGACGTGAGAGGGCCTCCGGCAATACCGAGTCTGAGAAATGTTACGCTCAACTGACTCGAGGCGCAGTTCAGTCCTCATCGAGCATGTGAAGTCGAGAGTTCCCGGCGAAGAGGTCGGCATCGCCCTGGCGTATTGCTCCTACAAAGACCCAGTTGCGAATACAAGCTCCTCTATACTCGCCAGCTTGGTCAGACAGTTGGCCGTCCGCGACGGTAAGCTGCATCCCAAAGTAGATGAGCTTTACCGCAAGCACAGGACCCGAGGAAAGAGGTCGACGAACCCCACGGTTGGAGACCTACAACGCTTGATCCTCTCCCTTGTCTCGAGCTTTGAAAAGGCCTATGTGTTCGTTGACGGCATGGCGAATGCGAGGTTGGAGAGAGAGGTGACCTGTTATCATGCTTGAGACGTCTGACCAAGGCGGAAAACGGTCGAGTCCACGTTTTCACAACCAGTCGCCCTCATGCTCAGGATATTCTGCGGGCGTTCGACGACCCCTCCAGCATAACTCGTCTGGATATCCGTGCTATGGACCCAGACATCGAGGCGTTCGTCAGGCACCAAGTGGAAAGCGCCGAAGAGCTCCTAGAGCTGTTTGAGGGGGACGGAGACTGGGAAGCTAACCAGTCCAAATCGGATGTTTGGGAAAGGATGATCTGCTCCATCACAAATCAAGCGTCGGGACTGTATGTTGCTGGAAAAGGGGGCCTTCGCCAACTGCTTTTGCGACTATGCGGTACTAGCCCGAGACCTCGTGGCGCCGACCACGGAAACGGAAAACGGATATTATTACACGATAAACCCTAGCCATCTCGACCTCGACGAGATGCTGGGTGGCACGCCTCTTCGGGAAGCCGCGGCTCAGGGGAACGAAGACGTGGTGCATCTGCTCCTTGCTAGGGGGGCCGATCCGAACCTTGCAGGGACGTACCGTGGCAGTCCCTTGAGTCAGGCTGCCAGCAATGGGCATGTGGCCATTGTGCGGACTTTATTGCGACTTGGTGCCGACGTCGACTACTCTATTCATTGTGCGGAATGACTGAAGATACCCCCTTATTCCTCGCGGCATCCAGGGGTCATAAGGCACTGACCAGTCTGCTCCTTGACTGGGGTGCAGAAGCTGACATTAGGAGCGAGTCGACCGGCCGCACGGCGCTGCTCTCCGCAGCGGAACACGGACACACCGCTGTGATCCAGCTTTTGCTGGACCACGGCGCCTCACAGATCCCCAGGGATATCAATGCGGACATGGGTTCATGTTTCGGAAGACCCCCAGCCGCGGGCGTGCTGCCCGGCCACTTCACTCCACTGTGGCTCGCAGCAGCCGGAGGCCATTCCGAAGCCGCCAGGGTGTTGCTGCAGCATGGGGCAGATGCAGACTTCGAGGGCGGCGAGAAGGACGGCTCGGATCGGTGCGTCTTGGCCGCCGCGATCGAGTCGGCAAGCTTGCAAATGGTGCGGGAGCTTTTGATGAAAGGTGCAGATCCGAACCGAGGCGAGCCCAATATGCTTCGCCTGGCAATTGATCGACTAAGTCGCGTACGCGAAGAATGCTCGGCACATGCAGCAAGCGCTGGGAGGGCCAACCTACAAGTTTCTAGGCTGGCTGCTACCGAAGCCCAAATGGTGCAAGAAGCAGCACTCGAAGGCATCGTGTGCGCTCTCCTACAACATGGAGCTGACGTCGACGCCGGATGGGACAGGGGCAGCAGTGACACAGCATTGCACGCGGCGGCACGCGGCGGATACGACAGGATAGTCGCGCTGCTTCTTGCCCACGACGCAGATGTAAACACCACGAACGAGGCCGGACAGACGCCGCTGTATTACGCTGCCTAATACGGCCGAGTTTCATCCATTAGGCTTCTCCTCCAAGCAGGGGCGCGCTATGACCTGGGGGTCAGTCCGCTGTACGCCGCCGCGCAATCCGGCAGCGAGGCCACGGCGCAGCTGCTGCTCGATCAAGAGGCGGAAGTCGCAGACGAGTCTAATCACGACGCAGACGACATGGACATTCGGCAAAAGACCTTGGTTGCAGTCACGGCCAACGGTGTCACGAATCTTGCCCGGGCACTCTTGAATCGCGGGGAACATGAAGACATCGAGGCCACGCTGGAGAGAAAGACCTTCCTAGCGATGGCTAGCAAAGGGGGGCATGACGCTGTGATTGAGCTTCTCATGGAGCGCGGTGCAACGCTGGACACGGTCGAAAGCGACACGGAAAGGGCCGCCGTCCTGCTGGCCGTGGTCGGGGGCCACGAGTCCTCAGCGCTGATCCTGCTGAACCACGGTGCCCGTCCGGACTCGGTCGACAAAAGCACCGGCCGAAGCCTTCTATCGTGGGCGTCGGGCCTAGGGATGGAGAAGCTGGTTGGACAGCTGCTCTGCCGCCACAATGTCCATGTGAACACCAAGGACCTTGAGGGCCGCACGCCGATCTCATGGGCGGCAGAGGGCGGGCACCTCGCCGTTGTGCAGCTCCTGCTTGACAATAAAGCGGACCCAGACAGCGTTGGCCGTGGATTGACACCTCGGGGCTTTGCCACAAAGCAGGGACATGTCGCCGTCGTGCGCCTGCTCACCGATTTCGGGGTCAAACTCGACGGCGAGGATCTTAACGAGGATAGATACCCCATCTTGCTTGCCGCTAAGGGCTCACATACAGCTGTCGTACAAGAACTTGCCGGCAGGGGCGGCGTGAGCCCGGCCGCGCGGTCGGCGGCAGTAGTATCCGCTGCGATGAATGGAGACCTTCTATCCATATTGGCTCTCCTGGAAGCGGGCGTTGAGCTGGCACCGCCATCGCCCCTACTGCGTACAGCAATCTCTGGGGCGGTGAAAAGAAACCACCTACAGGTTTTGCGAGAGTTGCTCAGCAAGGGCGTCCCGCCGGGTGCCGCTTTGGATACGTGTGTGTACGAGGCACATGCATCCTTCGAGGAGCAGACCGGAGACGAGACCCTTGAGAATACCGATTAGCCTAAGAACGAGGAGCAGTCCAACTTATCAGAGGACGTCAAGTTTCTGGCTAATCCTATCACCTATAGCATAAAGAAGCTCACCCTCTTATGCACTATCGCGAAGGCAGATCCCGCGGAAGCTATCGGGGTTGTTCTCCAGGTCGCTGTTGGTTGTGTGGTCGTCTTCGTCATCGCCGCCATGTCCCTCATCACCTGCCTCTTGGGGCTTGGCACTTATGCTGCTCCTCTGGCGAAGAAGATGGCTGCCTGCTCGAATGCTCACTCAGATGCCAAGGATGCGAAGGACAACGTTTTGTCGTCTGCCCTGGTTGACGTCCACGACACCGGCAATCGTACCACCAGGAACCCATCGTACCGTTGAACTGGACGCAGGGCTGGGTTTTGGCTGCTGCTCCAAGCCACTTCTCATGGAAACGAGGGCATGGTAGAGGCGTTGCTGGACGCTGGAGTGCACGACGATATCACCACCGTGTTGTACAAGGCGCTGGACACAGCCAGGCCGGCCATAGCCCGCCGCCTGCTCGGCGTATGGGCGACTGCAGTAGATTGGACCGCCGTGCAAGGCAGAACACTACTGGCACGAGCAGCTGAGAAGGGATACGAGGATATTGTTCGGTCACTTCTGGAATTGGGCGCCGACCCGGATGAGGAACAACCGTTAGATCAACGGACGGCTTTCTCCTATGCCCTCGAAGCAGGCCACGTGAGGATCGCCGAGCTGCTGGTGAAGAATCTGGACCGGACAAGGCATCCTTCCGGGCCGATGAAGATACTCCTGCACGGCGTCAACTATGAACGCATTGCCAGGATTCTGGTGGATGAAGCACAAGCACCCGTGTGGAGCGACCGAGAAGGCCTGCGTCTCTTGCAGGTGGCCTCGTACCGCCGATACCAGAGGGTCGCGAGTCGCCTGCTGGGCAAGGGTGTCAACCCAAACGGCGTGGAAGACTCAGAGGCTGAGGTACGCCCAATCCATTCAGCAACCCTCAGCGGATGCCTGCCCATTGTCCAACTCTTGCTGGAGCACGGTGCCGATCCGGAGATTCCTTTCAGGGACACTGGGCAAACGGCGCTCTCTTTGGCCGCCGAGTTCGCGTCGGAATCTATCGCTAGGCTACTACTGGAACACGACGCCGACCTAGAGTCCAAAGACACTGACGGATCCACACCATTGCTGTACGCAGCGAAGAAGGGAAACGAGGCAACGGTTCGGCTCCTGTTAAAGACCGGGGCTCGGGTAGATGCTGCCAACAAGCACGGCTCTACACCCCTCTTGGTTGCGGCCAAGGGCGGGCATGGCGCGACCTTGAAAGCGCTCTTAGAGCACGCACGGGGCGTCCGTTGGGGCTGTCGACGGAGACGATCGAACGGCTCTTCACCATGCTGCCATGGGCGGGTATCGAACCACGGCAAGCGTCTTGCTGCGTTATCCTGGGGTTGATGCCACGCTTGCGGATAAGACCGGATGACACCTTCGGATCTAGCGAGGTCCAATGGTTTCAAGTTCGAAGCAATCGCCGAGTTTGTGGAGGGGTATATGGGAGGCAAGGAGGGCATCGGACAAGGGCGGGAACATATCGCCAGCTCTAGAGAGGTCTGAAGGCCTTGAAGACTTCGCTGACCTTACAGAGGCGCGCGTACTCTGGGGGCACATAGTAAGGAGGTTCATGACCATTTCGACTGCAGGTCTTTGGTGGACGGATTCTTCGGTGTATAACTGGCTTGAAATCTCGGTGAAGAACAAGGTACACAGTAAAGTCAAGACGTGATTGGCACGGTAGGGCGTTCGACCCATCAACGAGGGACCCTTACTAACCCTCAGCTTACGTAACTCTTCAAGTTTCGATCCTTTCACATCCTTGTCA